GGTATTTTGTGGCTTTAAAAACAACTGTTTGTCTGAGAAAACCTTTATTTAAAAAAATTCAAGGCTTTTCTCTTTAGATTCAAACTTTATTTGTTTATACAGAAATCAGGTCCAAAGGAGTATGACTGTAGATGTAGAGATTTGGTTCTGTCTAAACCATAAGCCCACCTCCCGATAGGCATATTGGGCTAACATGTTTGGGCAAATTAAGTTTTAGACATTCAGTTATTCTCCACTGTACAGTGGGATAACACCAGTACCAGATAATAGAGAATCTCATATATGTTCCATCTCAGAGAAAAAGTCTCAAGTGACTGTATCTTAAATCCTGCATCGTGAAACTTCATGTAAATATTATTTGCGAATACATCAAATATCCTGGGTTAAATTAAAGTCATGGATTGCTATTTAACTGAAAGTGTATGTTTTAGCTCAAGTAGGTCATAAACCCTGAGGGCAGATAGCATCTTACACATCTCTGAATGTCCTCCAGATCTTGGCACTGTGTCCTGCCTAAAAGCGATGTTCATTGGATTGAAAAGAATTCAAGTGACTTCTTTTACCTATATTATGACCCTTAAAATACTTATTATACCACAATAATATAATTAGGATTAAGTGCTACAGCCCACCTGATTAGAGAAGTGCATCACCTATAACAACCAAGGTCTATTGTCTTAGTCTGATGACATGGGAAAAGTAGTTCTTCTAGATTATACAATTGGCTGCATGAGTCTTTTGAAATTAAATAGTTTTATCTTAAAATTGCATTCTGAGACAGTATTACTTAGGATATTGACAGGGCAGCAGAAAACTTTAGACTTTTTAAAGAATTTTTGCATGTTTTTTTGTATGTTTCTGATAGCCTATTTATAGCTTCCCTATCAGGTCCTGAGGTAGCTCTGTGTATTTGTAAGTGTTCTGGGGGTGGAGACATCAACTAGTGAACCGTCAAGGGCATGGAGCCACCCAGCGATTCATGTTACTGCTTCATATCAATTCCATATGTGGTTTTCTTCGTCAATATCAAGAATCTGACAATTGATTTTTATATCGTAGATGAAGAAGTGGAAGATATGTACCTTGTGGATTTCACACAGAAGATCATAGACAAACACAAAGAAGCGAAGGCGTTTGGTGCCATTAGAGATTCTAGAAAGGCAGAAGAAGGAGATGATGATGAAGAAAATCTTTCTGAAAAAGATATACCTCCTCCCCAGGACCCCAGTGAAGAATGGTTGGTGATATTATGTGATTTGATCATATTATCATCATCAGACTTGGCGTTTACTTTTTGACAGTGACTTTGGTTGTTGTCAAACCATTTCTCTTTAGTCTTCCTCATTTTTCTTTCTTTTAAGACTCCATTTTAAGTAAGGTTGGATTTACAGGTATAGAAACAGTAGTGCCAATGAAGAAATCATTACAAATGAAGACTGAGCTCTTGACATGTACCAGGCATTGTGCCAGGTACGGGAGGCATTCATATGCCTCTTTCATGGATGTGAAAGAGTTGTTTAAACAGAAGTGTGTTCCCTTGTTACTAGAGCTGCTGCCTTACCCATATCCTTATTCAGACATCGTAGAGTCATTGTCTAGGTAGTTGATGATATGTGTTCCCAGTAAGCCTTACTCTGGCTGTGACATTTTTCTGGCAGTACAGTATAGACATCATAGACCTTGGACCTAGACAGCACTAGCTCTGCCTTTCTCTGGTGATGTGACCTTGATCAGGTTCTTTACCTTTCTAAGGCCCAATTTCTTCACCTATGAAGCAGGGATGGCAATGCCTTCTTTGTCTGATTGTTTGCCTTAAACTCCCTACAGGAAGTAAGACTGACTAAGATACCCAAGAAACTGCTGTCCATGGAGTATAAGCAGGCATTTTGTAAATATTTATTATTGAAATTATTCTGAATTTCACCTACATGTAGAATGATAGGGAAACCAAACTAGTCTTTAACTTATAAAGAGACCAATGTGTCAATAAGAGACCAGAATGCAAATTCCATTCTAATGATTTTCTACTTAAGACATTGTTTAGAAACTTGTTTATAAGTACTTAAAATTAGGTAAAGATGCACTGATGCTTTGAAAATGTCCTGGGAATAACTCTGCCTGCCCATCCTCCTGCCTGGGCAGAGCCCACCCATCTTCCCTTCAAGGCTCAACTATCCTCCTCATTGTGGGGTCTTTGTCAGGAACTGCTTAGGATTGTTTGCAGCATTAGCTGACTTTTGCCAGCATTGAGCCCTTTGAGCAGGAGTTGTTTATGAGCTGAAGAGAGCAGACCCAACTACTGTGGAGCACAAAGAATGGCATCTTCATATTGCTGATGGTGTCCAGAGAAAACATGTGCATTGGGACAGAACAGGTGTCTTCTTACCTACTTTCTAAAAACTTATATTTGGGGTAGGTTATCTTGCTGCATGCTTGCTATAAACAACCAAAAGAGAAGCACATACAGTACAGTCTCTTCCATCAACGCCGCTTCATTCTAAGTGATTTCTCCCTCTGAACTCTGGTAACACTTAAATACTTTCTGCTCCTTTGGGTCTTACCTTTTCTTTATTAACACATAACTGGCCTCATTAACAGAGATTTGAGGCAAACTTCTGGTACTTTTAATATGATTGCTTTTCAGAGCAGAAATCTCATCTCCTTTGAAAGATTTAATGTCTTTTTATTATTATTATTATTATTATTATTATTATTATTTTATTATTTTGCTTGTAGGATTACAAGCAATTTGTCAGTGATCTGAAGAGTTTGGAGGGCAATTGAAGGTGTCACATGCCACCATATGGTGAAGAAAGCCACATTGCAAGCAATTCTGAAACTTTTTATTTTAAAATTAGGCTCCAAAATTATTAACTGCTTGTAAAATCTTTTGGTAGCTAAATTCCAGGTGGTGGAAAATCTTTCTGCAAAAATATTGTAAATAATTACTCAGACCATCTGGCTAGATGGTTTTCTTTCTCTGTTCATTTTTCTTTTTTTTTAAGGAAAAAAAAAGAAGAAAGAAATTGCTTCCTTCAGTTGGAGGTTTTATTTCTTGTGGTAATCAGCTTTGGGACTATAGCGATGGATTCCCATTCTGTTTTTAAATCATGGGCCGACAATTGGAATCAGCATATGTGAGAGGAAAGAAATTACTATCAGAAGTACAGTCATATACATGGAAATCTGACCTCGAATTGGTCCACCAGTAACACTGGCCCCTTTCTCTGTTTTTAGCACCCTACTAAAGGCTGTGGGAAATTCCCTGCCCATAATTAAAAAAATAAAAAATCCGTTGCATCAGAATGCAAATGAAATGTTTTCCATGAAAATCTGCCCATACTTCCTGTTGTGAGAAGTGAAAGTATTTCATTTGCCTTGCTGTCTTCCTGGCTTCCCTAGCTAGTTTGGGCAAGATTAGGAAAGAGGAACTAAGGGTAAAAAGATAACAGACTGGCCTGCTGGTGAGGTACTTTTGTGGTACAAAAAGTGTTTTGCTTGGCTTCCCTCCTACTTAAAAAGCATCCCCAAAATACCATGACTTATAATAAGAAATAAATTTCTGATTCATTGGGAAGAATTAGACCAATTAGAAGAAATAAAAGAAACAATAAAATGTTGGATTTGGGAGGACCGAGGAAATAAGTTGAGTCTGGTACAAAACAAAGTTATTACAATGCTGATAAAATATTTAGAATTGTCTAAACCAGATTAGGTTCTGAGACGTTGCAGCAAGTGTCTGTCTGGGTATTTATTTTTGAAATCAGAGACATACATCATCAGTCATGTTCTGTGTTTCCTAAAACTAAGATTTAATAAAGAGCATAATGTGTTTATTGTATGTCAACTTTTATCTTTAAAAAGTATGTTCATATCAGTGGTAGTAGTCTCTCAGGTTGAGAGGCTTCCTTGGTAGTGAGGCCTACGTTAATTTTTTCTTTTACTATGCACTAACTCCCTAACTTAGGGAACCATATGTCATTTACAAAGCCTTCACATCTTTTCACTTTTATTTCAGGGTGGATTACGTGGATTCTTTAGGGCGATCCCGGCGCTGCATGAAAAAGGATTTGCCACATCTGCTGGAGATGGATAAAAATCTCCAGGGGAGGCTGTAAGTGTGTTATATGCAAAGTTCTGCCCATGTCTGAAATGCAGACACAGGGATAGTTTTGTGGACGAGGCTGTTTTTAGTTAATTATCTTTGGTGCTCCAGTAAGGAGATCTTTTTTTATGTATAAGAATATTTGCTGAAGCACTTTTTTTCATGGTTAGCATACACATGCACACCTAATCCACACTCAGGGCACAACCTTAAGTGGATGATTTATATTGTGTAGCTACTAAAAGGAATGAGTTAGAGCTATATCTATTTACAAGCATACCATGGAGATATTGTGGTTTCAGTTTCAGACTACAATGAAGCGAATATCATAGTAAAATGAGTCACAGGAATTTTTTGGTTTTGATTTCTCAGTGCATATAAAAGTTATGCTTACACTATACCGTAGTCCAGTAAGTGTGCAATAGCATTATGTCTGAAAAAAGCAATGTACATAATTAAAAAATAGTTTATTGCTAAAAAGTGCCAACCATCGTCTGAGCCTGTTGGAAAAATGACACCAGTTTATGTGCTCAGTGCTTGGTTGCCACAGATCTTCGATTAAAAAAAAGAAAAAACAAAAAACAAAACCAGTATCTGTGAAGTGCAATAAGGTGGATAAAGCACAATAAAGTGAGGTATGCCTGTACTTGGAAGGATGTCTAATTACAGAGTAACGAATATACCATAAGCCTAAACCAAACCAACAAACCCTTGTGGATAAAGGTGTTTAAGAATATATACTTGGTTATCCCACAGCAAGTGGGGGCAGGGAGGAAGTTGACTTAACTTTTTCTTTATCTTTTTTTGCATTTTGAAGTAAGGAAGGGCCTTATAGCTAGATTTTTTTTTTTCCTGTGGGGCCTAAGACACACCTAAGAGATAAGTTACTAAAACATCCCAGGGAAAAAAATTAACCTCACTAAGAGCAGCTTTTGTGTGGAATGTGTTGGGAGAAGGTCCACCTTCTCCAGGTCCTCCAGGCTCAGGTGGGCCTGAACAAAGGAAGAAGTGCAGAAGCCCTGAGCTGTCTGACAACACATGAGGCACTGGCCCAGCCACAGCGTTATGCGACTTCCTTGGCCTTGCATGGGAGACCATCTAGAGATGGTGTCCTCCCTGCCTGGGCTGCCTCCCTCTATTCAGCCCACGACCTGGGTAGGGAAGAAGGTGGTTTGTCTTGAGTGCGGTCAGGATTACATTACGCTAATGGATAAAGGTGAAAATCTTTTTTTGCAATTTCCTAGTGGTCTAGTAGATCGGAAACCTCTGTAGGGAATTGTCATCTTTTTCAACTAGAGTTACTTATCCATGATCCAGCTGACTGAACCAAAGCATTACTGACTCACAGCTCTTGTCTAAAGACAGTTTTTGCTTTATTCTCCTACTAGTTTTGTCAGTCCTGCTAATGAAAAAACCTTACTATCTGAAGACATGAGAAAAGAACTTCAACGCCAGCAATGGGAGGAAGAAGAAAGGGAGGCCCTGAAAAGGCCAATGGGGCCCATCCATTATGAAGACATTCGTGAAAATGGTATAATCATCTTACAGCTTTTAAATCATTTTTTTATCTTGAACTAATGGCAAACATAAAGTATTCATAAAGCAGCAATTCTTACATAGAAAGATTCTACTTTGGAAATGGAAAATATCCCTTTTGTTCACTTAATAGCCTAAAAAATACTCATATTGGGAACATCTTCCTAATAGAGGGTTTGTTCCCCAAGAGAAGTGGAAACAGCCTATGACTGAAAATTAATGAATTTTTGTTAGGTTTATCACTTGGCAAACAGGATGAAAAAAACTATTTTTAATTTTTTTTTTTGCTTAGCTGCCTTAAAAAAAAAAACTTGTGCCAAATATCACTGTATTTATTTTTGCCAAGTTTCTTGTAGGATATTTGGCTTTAGTGTAATTTATAATGTTTTGAATAATTTTGATTTATTTCAGAGGCCCGGCAACTTGGTGTTGGATATTTTGCCTTTGCCCGAGATAAAGAGTTAAGAAACAAGCAAATGAAAACTTTAGAGATGCTGCGTGAACAGGTACAAATTAAATTCAGAGTTTATGTTAAGAAGGATTTGAGCAGGTGGTTTCTTTTTGGACCATACTGCAAAAAAACCTGGTAAATTAATTAGAAATTTAAATTGATATTCAGAATGCAATTAGAGGTTTCATAAGTGGCTGTGTTATTTTGGTGTTTCAGACTTTAAGATTATTGCTGCTCAGAAGTAACCTGTGTAACTTTGATGTCTTAAATTTGGTTTCAACTATGGAATGATTGGAATGGCGTGGGTGAGAAAATAGGAAGTTATATAAAGGACTAAGGAGTAGAACAGAACTGGTTGGTTTTTTTAAGCCTTCCAGGATGCTCTGTAAACTCATATAAACTTCAAAAAACATCAGAGGGCTTGCATAAGAGTACTTCATGGGTCTTAATTTCGAAGATTTCCAAGATAGCTTCTTAGAGGTGGCATGAAAATCAGTCTATTTTTAGAATAACATTAATCATTTCATCCTTTTAAACAGAAATATGCATTTGGCTTAAATAATTCTCTGTTCTTTACAGACAACAGATCAGAGAACAAAACGAGAAAACGTAAAGGAAAAGCGAAAAGCTATGTTAGAAGCAAGACTTGCCAAACTCCGACAAAAAAAGATGAAAACAAAAGACGACGGAGCAGAGGAAGAGAATAGAGGTATGTCATGGCTCATGATTCTAAACTTCAAAGGGAAAAATTTTAATTCGATTAATGTCTCAGTAATGTCTTGATAATTACAATACAGAAATTAGCCATTTAGTTTTGTTCTCTAAGCAAGCACCCTTGAGGTACTGTCAGGAGCAGTTTTTATGACAAAAAGTGATGCGGAGTGGCACTCCAAGGAGTCTTTTTCGGTTATAGTTAAGGTAATTAATAGTACATTGTTTCACTTCATAGAACAGAACAGTTCAGTAACTGAGACTCAGTTTAGTTGTTTTAAACCTAATTTTTTTGCTGTGGTTACAGTTTTTGTTGGTTATTATATATTAATTTATTTTAAAGAAAAAAATACATTCACAGTATGTAATGAAATAAAGAATTTACAAACACGAGTGTGGACAGTTTACCAAAGGACTGTTAGAACACTTGGAAACACCGTTAAGAGTGTTGTGGTCAAACTAGCTCACTGTATGGGTTATGCTGGTCTGGGCTAAATTACCATGACGAAGAGACCCCTACATAGACTGCCTCAAACATGAGGGAAGTCTTCTCTCTTTAACACTTCAGAGGTGTTAGGTGTCCAGGCAGGTAGTAGCTCTGCCCCAGATGGCCATGCAGTCCCCAGCTTCCTCCTGTCTTGCTCTTTCTGCCATCCCCTAGAAGGTTGCCCTCACCTGCACAGTCAAAGCTTGCTCCCCAGCACCTGTTCATGATCCAGCCTGGAAGGGGGAAAGAGAGGGAAGAGAAACCAGCTTCCTTTTTAGGGATGTGAGTCAGAAGTCACACACAGCCTATGCATTTACATCCTACTGGCCAGAACGAAGTCCGTGGTGTAGCACCCACTACAGGGGAGGCTGGGGAATAGCTTTTCTAACAAGGTGCTGTTTCCAATTGAAACAGGGGCATTCTGGTCCCAAAAGGAAGATGAGATGTGTGGGTGTTAGGGGCATATAAAGCTTCTCCAGCCCTCACAAGTCTTATGCTAAGCCATGGGCCATTTTCTGGTTCTAAACACAATTTCAGTTTAGCTTTGAAAGGAGACCAGAAATACTTATGAATTGGAAAATCATCAGTTTAGTTTCATGTAAATGCTATCTCCCTGTAACATGTTAAACTTTGCATATTTTTACTCCCGAACATCTGTCATTTTCACAGATGTAAAACGCCACCATTAAAAAAATCCATTTTCTTTTAAAACATGGTCAAAATGAATAGCCTGTAGCTTGTTGCCAGGCTCTAGTTCTTCATCACTACACTAAGTTCCTTTGCTTTGTCTGAGTCCCTTTCTTTAGTTGAGTAATTAAGGGCTTTCTGATACTTCAGTAATTGGTCTGGGGTAACACAGAGACTTTAAAATCCATCCAATTTGGATTTGAGTCCTAGCTCTTGTAACTCTACCTGTGCAGCATTTCTGAGCTTAATTTTTCTCATTTATAAAATGGAGATAAAATGGGGGTACCAATACTGACCTTATTAGGGTTGTTACAGAATTAATGAATTATTGTATACAAAGTACTTAGCCCACTGCCTGGGACGTGACAGGTGCTCAGTAAATACTGGTTATTACTTCTACTCTCAGGAATAGCATATTTTATTTAAAAACATTTTTAAGTAGCTTTAAATTTTATTATAATGAAGTCTTATTCCTTTGCAAAAAATAGATGGAGATGTTATTGGGCCTTTGCCACCAGAACCAGAGGCTGTGCCAACTCCACATGTTTCTGCTCAGAGCAGCAAAGTAGAAGTCATCGTTCAGGAGAGGAAGGATACCAGGCCTGGAGTGCCACATATCCGGGAGTGGGACAGAGGAAAAGGTAAGGGGGCTGGGCTCCAAGGTGTAGAAACCTTTATAGCAATGGGCTATAGAAAAACCTGCACAGGAGGTTTTTCTGAGCTCCTCATCCTAGTGTGATTCTGGTGAGTCTTAGCGGTCCTTTGAGCTTTAAGTAATTGTCTAGACCCTTGAACTTGTTTCTTCTCAGTACCCAGACAGTAGCTGTCTATAAGCAGGAGCACTAGAAAGAGTCATTACAAAAGACCAGGGTTCCCAAGGCACCATGTCAAAAGGATGAGTTTTCTTTTTAGAAGCACTTGGGGGAAGTTTTCTGAAATTTGTGCCGCCCTCAGGTGGTTTTGCAACTGTGGAATGCCATTTCTCAGGAACCATTTATAAAATCTCATGACGGTTTGGTATTTTAATGTATTCTGTTTGAGATTTTTAGCAGTCTCTTTTTATGTTCAGTTGAAGTGATCTGCATGTCAGTGTATTAACCTGGATTTACGTATGTTGCATTCGGTTATGCAGAATTTTCTGTAAATACCCTGTAGGGTCCACAGCAACTTCTCTTCGGAAGAAGACTATGTTTTATACCTTTTTGAAAGAGATTGTGTTAGCACTACAGTAGCTCATGCTGTTTGAACTGATGAGGTCTAATACTAAAATAAAAGATATGCAAATAGGTGAGTGTGGCTGTTAGAAATAGAAATGAAATACCTACTTAGATTTGGATAGGTGTCTTGAGAACAACATTTGTGTTTGCTCTGAACACCTACAGCATCGTGTTACACAAGCAATTTGAGTGTTTGATTTTTCTATATTTCCCTCTCAAATGTAGTTTTAGTGCCTTTTTGACAGTGTCTCCAGAGCCTTCCTCAAACCTTTGCCCTTCTGCTTCCTTATACTTTATATTACAGCTTTGTTATTGCTATCCATGTTCTCCAGAGAATTTGAGGTGGCTTTTGAGAAATACATACAATGACCGAAAAGTAATAACAGTAAAGATTCAGCTGATTCAATAATCTGTTCTAATAATACTTTTTTGTTTTTACTAGAATTTTCCTTTGGGTATTGGTCGAAGAGGCAGTCAGATCTCCGGGCTGAGAGAGATCCTGAGTTTGCCCCACCATCGGATTACTTTGTGGGTCAAAAGAAAACTGGTTCTTTCAGTAGCCAGACCTGGAGCAGATCTGCACCTACACAGAGTGACCCAGGGCAGTACCCTGGCCAGAGCCATGACCCCAGCTGTTCACATACATCATCCACTCCTGCCCCCAACAGCCCACCACAAACAACCACGGTCACATTTGAAACTCTGGATGATATGATATCATATTATAAACAAGTGACATGAACTAGAAAACATTCTGACTTGGGTCCATACTGTCAATGGTGCCTTCCTCTCCCAGAGCGGGGAAAATGACTTTAGGGACTTGATTGTAACTTTTTATCTTCCTGTCCTTTCCATAGAAGACACAGGTTGGATTTATCAGCAAGGAAGAAAGTGAATGGTACTGTGGGAAATCTGTGGCCACTTGGCTATTCATTTCTTTCTAATTGGTATGGAGGAGACATATTCATCTGGATTTACGTGTAAGCTGTGGTAAAGTAGAAATATTCTGTAATATTTGATACCAAGGAGTTTGTAATCCTGTCTCTTTTACACCCACTCCCATGACTTACTCAGATTCGAGGACTCCATTCCTTTCCTTTTGCAAATACTAGCACATAGATGTCTTTTTTCCCAAGGATTCAGCTTCTAGATCCATTGATGGAGCATCTCTCAGAAATAACTTTTGTCTATCAGACAGTGACAAATGAGGGGATACTGTGTGAAAGGCAAAGTGATTTAGTCTCCAAGAGGACCCTGAAGCTGGTGGACTATAACATAAACGATAGGAAGACCAGGGGGTAGAACTTCATAATCCAGAAGTGGAAATTGAAGTCACTAACTTTTATTGTCATCGCATCCTAAGTGATTATCATCACCTGTGCATAGTGGGCATTCAGTAAGTATGTGTTAATGACTAGGGTACATGTGGGAGCTGTTGAGTCTGGTTAGAGAGTGAGATGCTCCTTAACTGTTAAGGATTTTTCAGCTCACCTGCCTCCCTGTTACTCCCACTGTAGGTCCTCATCACTCTCGGGAGCTGAGTCACCTCAGAAACTTGATTGGGATAGATTTGGGTTGGAGTGAGGGGCAGGTAGGTCTCTTCATCTTTTCTAACAATGGGTGAGTGAGCAGAGCACCAGAAGGGCTACCTGTGCCTGGGTACTGTCCCCATCCTCGGTCTGCTGCACCTCAGTGTCCTCTTTACAGCTGCAAACAAGCAGTAGGAGTTGGCCACCAGGCACACAGGGTTCATATGGCCACCTCTCATGCCAGTGAGTCCTGTATGAATGTGCTAGAGCAGATCTTCCGCATGCCCAAAGGAGTCCGCCTTTTCCTGGGCTTTGTGATAAGCATGTTTTCCATTTCCACAGCACAGTGGTGTTGGTGAGGGTGCCCCTATTCTCATTACAGATTGCAAACTGGAGTGCAGAGAGGATCAGCAAGTAATCCCAGGTCATGTGACATCTAAATGGCAGATCTGGGCTTAAATGTAGTTTGTTTAGGCTCAGGTTTGTTCCAGACTTATGCTTTCTCCAAAACCCTCTGCTCTTAGTGTTGTTGCCCCGAAATCAAATCCCAAATTCCAGAAAATTTAACCTCTAAACTCCGTATCAGACAAAGCTGCCAGACTTATTAATGGTCATTTTGTCAGCCTAATCAGGCAAATACCTCTTTTAACAAATACACATTTAAACCAACTGATCTGGTTGCTTTTTTTAAATAGAAATTGACAAGCTGATCCTAAGATTCACATGAAATTGCAAGGGACCTATAATATCCAAAATCTTGAAAAAACAAAGTTGGAGGACTCACACTTTCTTATTTCAAGGCTTACTAAAAAGCTATAGGAATCAAAAGGATGTGGTACTGATGTAAGTATAAACACATAGATCAATGGAATAGAGTTGAGAGTCCAGAAATAAACTCATACATCTATGGCCAATTGCTTTTTAACAAGGGTGCCAAAACCATTTGAGGAGGAAAGACGTATCTTTTCAACAAATTGTGCTCGGAATTGTTTTTTCAACAGATGATTATGGAATAAATATCCACATGCAAAATAATGAATTTGGACCCATAGCTCACACCGCATATAAGAGCAATTCAAAGTGGATCACCATCTAAATGTGAGAACTCTAACTACAAAACCAACTAAAACAGCTTGTAGGACAAGAAAAGAGCCAGAAAAAAATGGAATATTAAAAAAAATAGAATTGTGAGATGTCCTAGAATCATAAAGGGGAAAAAGAAAAGCAAACAATAGATATGAGAAAGGTGGAAAGAAGATGTATTTATAAGGTAGAGCAGAAGAACTTGAGGCAAATTGTGAAAAAGGGACAAACAGGAAGACTAGTCAGGCAGCAGTACACCCATGAGTATGGAGCCAACGATCATGAAAGAGGCCACCAAATAACCTTTTGTCTCCTAGAACACCTTGGGTGGGTAGTGAAGCCGTCTTTGCATACTGGCTCATCATCACTGTCAACTAATGACTGTGAGATTTTTCCCTAGGATTTCAAAGATTATATAAAACTATTTCCAAACCCCTTTTAACAGCAGACATTTAGTTTAGTCTTTTGTGAGCCCAGTTGTTACGTTCTCTTCTATTTCAGACCCAGAGTTCTTCAGATGTTAATAACAATTAGTTTTACTGTTTTTCATAGGCCTGTTTTGTACAAGTGTATCCAACAGGTGGCATTAGAGGTCTTAGACTTCGGATCCACACTCTAAAACAGCACTGCCCAAAAGAAATATGATGTAAACCATTGTTTCATTTTGAATTTTCAAGGAATCACATTTAAAAAGTGAGATTAATTTTGTATACTTTAGTCCAGTATATCCAAAATATTATTTCAACATTTAATCAGTATACGAAAAATATTAATGAGATATTTTACATTTCACACCAAGTCTTCAAAATCCACTGTGTACCTACTTATATAAATTTTCATCATGGATACTTGATCTGTATTTAGACTTCATAAAATATCAGTTGAAAAAGTAGATTCACATGCCCGAATTGTTCCAAACATCTTTTACCATGTTTAAAAGTTTGCAAATAACTGAATCAGGTACCAAGTTTTAAATTTAAATTAATTTAGCCCCTTAGTCATTCTAATGTCATCTCACATGCTCAAAAGACATGTCTTATACTACTGTACTGCACAGTACAGTTCTAAATGATCTATTTTTACATGCTCTAGTGTGACTACATGTCATCCTCTCAGTGGTAGTAACTAAAGGATTGACAAACAGTTTTTTCCAGGTGTACATGAAGCATTCAAGATATTCTATGGCTATGTTTAACTTGGGAGCAAGTAGTGGTAAAACCCCTTGTCAGAAAACATGACCACACCTTATTCATGATTTTGTAGAGCTAAGTGAAATGTTTTGGATCAGAAATTGCTTTGAATTATTTTTTTCATTTTAATCTTTTCTCCAGGCCTTTTGTGTGCTTTGATACAGTTCATTTGAATTGGCTAAATAAATCATTTTGTTTGCTTGCAAAATTCCCAAAGGAGAAACTCTAAATCCATATACATGAGATTCCTGCTATGTATAGCCATACATTTGCCAAAGACTTGTGTAATTTATTTCCTCTTAAAGCCGTAGTGCAGCCTATGGGGTGGTTTTCAACTAACCTCGTTGTGACATACAGAGGAGGCAGTAGAATTTAGAATTTGGAATGAGGGCGGGTACTGGTCTTTACAGTTAACGCAACAGAGAGTAGCCACACCATATTTAGTCTCTTTCAGCCAGTAAATTGAACTAACATATGTCAAGCAGTTCCTGTAAAAAACTACATGCCTAAGGTAATGATCATTGAAAATAATTTGTTCACCTGTTGAAAACTGGGAGCAAAAATGAGACTCCCCTAGTCCTCCCACTTGCCCTTGCCAACTGGCTGGGTGAGTCATTTTGCCTAGAAGAGGTCGTGGACGTCTAGCTTAATGTTTAAAGAGTGTGTGTGAGGGGTGAGTTGGAGTGGGAGGTTTGGGGAGATCTAGGAAAACTGGAAAATCAAAGCAATCAAATGAAGCAAGGTATTTTAGTGAAAACCTGTCACCCAGGCCTAGTATTAATCTGTTACTGTGTTTATTAGTTCTGGGCTGTGTTTATATATTTACACCTAGTAAATGTGTGTACCCAGTAGTGGGAGTGGTTTGAAATACTCTTTTTCACTCTCCGTTTAAACAGCTTCTTTTCTTTACACATTTCTAACTGCAGCATTCTCCCTAACTCTGAAAACTCATCTGCTTGGTGGCAGTTTTGCCTGGTTTTAAGCATTTTTCCTGGGTTACATTGTGTTCTATTTCTATTTGATCATTATCAGTATTAAGTCTGATACATGGGGAGTAGCTTTAGAGACTTGATCCCTCATTCTTCACCCTGCACTGTGGAGGCGTTTCCTGTGGCAGTTCCTCTCCACATACAGTCAAGGTTGTTGAGTGGTGTTTATGAAAACCAGAAAACACAAGAATGGGCCCTGCTCCCAGCCCAGGTCTCCCAGGTCACAAGAGTGTCTAAGAACAGTGCTGCTGTCTTTGTAGGGGACCTGTGTTTTACTGTCTTTTCTTCAAAAATACATTATCTTTAGCATAAAAAGATAAGGCTTTATAGCTCTCTAATTATGATCTGCATAGGTTTTTATGGAATGTGTAATCAATGTAAACATACCATTTGGAGTTTTTTCTCCTTTAACATTTCAAAAACAGCTCAGTTATTTTTAATTGCTGCCCAATAGTTATCAGATTAACATACATCATTGTTAGATACTTCCTCGGTTGTCGACTGGCTGCATTATTTCACTATTAGTAATGAAGTGGCTATAGGCATCTTTTTGTTTCATTTAACGAACATTGATCTTTACCCAAGTACCTTCCTTCCCCTATTTCAGCCATCTCCTTGGGTATTACTTTCAGAACTGAGATCACTGGGTTAAAGGGATGATCATTTTTATGTTTGTCGATGGGTCTTCCCAGAAGACCTGTCTTAATAAGGGCCTTTGGTACCACAATAAATCTCCGAGGTGGAGGATTCAAGTGGCTTGCAAGTGAATTAATTCCAGTCCAGGATGAGGGGTGACTGTGAGGTTCCAGTTTCACATGTAAACCTTACTCAGTAGCCGGCGGTTAAGCTTTATCATTTGTGCAGCCCCCAACTCTGCTTACTCTCAGATCCACTTCTCTCTATAGCTCTGCCTTTTCTTCTTCCCATTGGCGAGGAGAATTCAAGCATCTGTCCAGAACTGTTGATATACTGAGAAGTAGAGAGGACAGTGTCTATTAATTTTCCCAGTCCCATCTCCACTTCTTTCATGCATCAAGTGAGGGCTTATTCTCATGCCTGTCCTAGCCTAAAGCCCAGCTTGCTCACAGATTGTAGTCATGCAGTACATCTGGACTGCTCACTGTCCTTATCAGAGTGTTTCTGATTAAAACCAGAGAGAGCTGAAACTAGAGAAAATAGCTAAGAAAGCCGGCACCAGATAACCTAAGGGAGCTACCTTTTATTTTGTTTTTATAAAGCTGTATGTGCTTCTACCCAAAAATGTATTCCTGGATCAGTGCCAATAAAAGGCAGTAGGCCCTATTTTTGTTTTTTAAATCTATAAAAACGAGAGTACTCTGACTTGTCATTGTACCCAAATTTCCCCCTCAGCTTCGTTCTAGTTGAGTGCACTTGGTTTTCCTGAAAGCTGTTCAGAATTTTTCTCCTTTTCACCCTTTATCTGCTTGTTCCCTCTTGTGTGCCCTGGCAGTTTGCTGTATCTGCAATTTAAGTACCCTTCCAAGTGCACCTAGGACTGAAAATCCTTTTTTACTGTAGGCGAAATTCAGGCTGCCGTGGGTTTTGCTCCCCTCCTTGGCTAATCCCTCCAGGAACTGTATGTCTCACACACTCCTTCCCACCCCACATTCTCACCCTACTCCCAGCCCTTGGAAATACCCCAAAATACAGATGCTGCCTTTGCAGTCCTTTGAGAGTTTCCCATCACCTACAAGATGAAGTCCAAGCTCAGCATTTTATACACGCTCCTCTCAGCTGGCCCCTGCCCCACCCCTTCCACACAGCCCTCCCCCATCCACACTAACCTGTAGCATCATCTAGTAAACTCGGAGTTCTCCAAACTTGCCAGGCTTATTTAAAGTCTCCAGCCTGAACAAGTGTCGTTCCCATTGCCGGGAATGCTCTTCCTTGTTTGCTAGTCAACTTCTATTTCTGGACCAGTTTCTGTCATTTCCATTGTGTAGCTTTCTTCTACCACTTCAAGTAATTACCTTTTCCTACTTAACATTCTTTGAGCACTTAACTTTGTGCTAGGCATTGTGCCAGCCCTTTATGTGTATCTCATTTAATCCTCATGGTCTTGGGAAGGAGAGACTAGTGTCCAAATGAGGCCCTTGAAAATGTCACACAGGTCAAGTGCCACGCTCAAGGTCTCATAGCCTGAGCTCATAGCAAGCTAGTGACACTGCCTTCTTTGGACTTCCATTTTACCTTACAGAAAGTACTCTGACTTGTCATTGTAGCCTGATGTGTGTGCCTCTCCCCTCCTCATCTCCCTCCTGCTTCAAGCTTGCGCAAATTAGAACGAATACAGCGCTGGGCCCTTGGTCATCTTTTATATGCTTTATAAGCTTCTTAAACAAGCTTTTCATTTCTTTTTGAGAGTTGTTTGTTGAAACTTTGCTTAAAGCCATCTACATGGATCTCTTAGACTATCTGTTAAACCTTGATGCTACAAAATATTTTTCACTTTCTTGTATGTGGCAGCACTGTACTTAGTGTCATGGAGACTACAAAAGGAGAGAAGACATGATCCCTGTCCTCCATATGCAGAGATGAGACTTAACTACATGGGATTTAATAGCAATTAAATATGTTTGAGTACTGGATTATATAACATGCAAATTCTTCGGCATGACATACAAGTTCTTTCATGATCTGATTCTAGACCACTTTTCTAATTTCATCTGCTACTTTCCTATAGACCTCTGTAGCCCCAACCATACTGGTATATTTTGTAGTTCTCTGAACTCATCATGCTTTAAATGTCTCTTCCTTTGTACATACTGTTCCTTTTGCCAAGAATGCTTTCTCCTTCCTATCTGCCTGGTAACTACTTTTAAGAAAAAAAAAATCAAAAAAATTTTTCAATTACAGTTGACATACAATATTATATTAGTTTAGGTGTACAACATAGTGATTAGACATTTATATAACTTACAAAGCGATTGCCCCAGTGAGTCTAGTACCCATCTGACACCATACATAGTTATTACGATATTATTGACTATATTCTCTACACTGTGCTTTACATCCCCACGACTGTTTTTATAAATGGCAATTTGTACATCTTAATCCCTTACCCCTTTTCACCAACTGGCAACTTCTTACTCATCTTTTATGACAACCTTCAGTGTGACCCATATTGTATGTTCCAAAAATCAATTTTGTAAGTCTCTTGTCTGTTAAACATTGAGCAACTCGAAGGCAAGGCCCATGCCTCAGTGATGGAAAAATGAATAAATGACAATAAAAATTGTGTAATTGGGAAGGAGGGAGGGATGATATACCACCATGGATGATTGTCGAGTCAAGAATCACATGTGACTTCAAGAATAGAGAGCTAAATAAAGTGGCTTACAGAGATTAGCATTCATTCTCTCACGTGGAATAAGTTTGGAAGTAAATGGTTAAGTGCTGGTATGAACGTGCCATCATGTTATCAGGACCCAGGCTCTGTGGCTCTACTCAGCTACCATGTGTGGCTTCTGTCCTCAAGGTAACCTCATGGCTCCAAATGACTGCTGGGACTATGAACATCTCATTTATTTCAGAAGAATGATAAGGGCAATGGGTAAAGAAAAAGTATTCTCTTCACGAAGGCAGTTTCCTTTAAAAAGATTTCTCAGGGTCCTACCCAGCAACTTCTACTTTTATCTCATAGGTCAGAATGTAGTCACATGGTCACCTTTAGCTGCATTTTGAAGAGCTAAACATATGGTAATGAGTTATTTGTGCATTTCATTTAAAATGACATTAAAAAAAAAAAAAACTTTTAGATCCAAATAGACTTTCTCTAAAGAAAATATAAGTTGGCCAATAATACATGAAAAGATGTTCAGCATCACTAGTCATTAGGGAATGCAGATCAAAACCATAATGAGATACCACTTTACATCTTCTAGGATGGCACTCCAATCAAAAAGACAATAACACGTGTTGAGAAGGACAGGGAGAAGGTGCAGCCTCTTTGGAAACCAATCTGGCAGTTCCCCAAATAGTAAACATTTAGATACCATATGATCCAGCAATTTTACTCCTAGGTATATATCCAAAAGAATGAATACATCTGTCCACACAATAACTTGTACATGAATGTTCATAGAGGCATTATTCATAATAGCCAAAAAGTAGAAACTATGTAAATGTCCATCAAATAATAGATCAACAAAATATGGTGTAGCCATATAATGGGATATTTCTACTATAAAAATGAAGTACTAATGCCTGTTATAACATGGATGAACCTCAAAAACATTATGATAAGTGAAATAAGCCAGTCACAGAAAGCCATGTATTGTATAATTGCTTTTATATGAAATGTCTAGAACAGGCAAATCTGCAGAGACAGAAACTAGATCAGTGATTGCCTAGGGATCAGGGAGAATGGAGAGTGACCACGAATGGGCTTTTTTTATGGGGTGATGAAAATATTCTAAAATTAGATAGTGATGTTGTTTGTACAACTGAAATACTAAAAACCATTTTACACTTTAGAAAGATTGTATGGTATGTGAATTACATCTCAATAAAGCTATTTTAAAAATCAGCTTTTATCTGTAAGACATATCTTCAAAATTAACCTCAAAGGAAAGGAACTGATGGGGGTTAGGGAGAAGTTCCTCAAACCAGCTAACATTTCTAGGATTTCATTTGCCTTCTCTTCATCTGAATCCTGGCTTTAAAAAAAAAAAAAAAATCGACTCTGTACTGTCAGGGTCAGAACCTCTGGCTGGCTGCCCAGATGACTGAGATTCTGAGTGGTTTCTTTGTTCTGTAGACTTATCATTTAAAAAATGAACCTATTTTTCTGAATCTCCAAAGCTGAGGAATAGAGATGCCAGGGGGTCAGCAAATAGACATAGGAAGTCTCTTTATGTGCAAGCCAGCTGGATGTCAGAAGAGTTTGCTCTATGAGACTCTTGTTCTTTGGAGATTTTGTTGCTGATAGATGGGCAGAGGCAACTCAAAGGCCATGAGGAAGTAGTATCACGTTTGGAAAGGCCTCTGTGCCAGTAGTCTACAGACAGGTGACTCCTGACCAAAAGTCTCTCTCAGCCTCTGATTTCTCATCAACAAAACCACAGAGGCAATGGCCTTCTCACCCCAAGGTGGTCGCACCAGATCAAAGGCAGGTATGAAGCTGCTCTGAAAATGCTGAGGGTGTACACCAAGGGTGTGGTCTTTGGCGAACTTGGAGTGGCTTCAGAGGACATGGTTTGAAAAGTGAAAAAATGAAGATTGTCTGGCAGGAGAGGATAGCCATGGATGTGGCGGGGAGCGGTTATCAGGCCAAACGTGGTAGAATTGATGGTTGGAAGGCTGTGGTAGCAAGCAAGGATTGTCAGAAGATGCCAGCCCTTCCTCTGCTCTAAAGGTCGACATTACTAGCAAGTGTGCTCATTGGGGCCATTTAAGTCAGACAACAGGGGCAGCTCACTGGCACTGCATGGAAATGCTGGCAAAGGTGATCAGAGTGGGGATCTCACCCTCCTCTGCTCTCAGATTCCCTTAGATCAACCTTTCCTATGTGTTCTGGATTCTTGAGCATCTTTTACAGAGGCTCATATTCTCACAAAGCCCCTCAGGAGTTAAAAGAAATAAATCATCATTTTTGTGTAGTGTAAGATCAAGAAGTGACTATTTTTGTAAATGTGTTTCAGATTGATATGTGGACAATAATATGTCCTTAGGGGTTTCATTTTGATCAGATGGATGAAACTTTCAGATCTGATTACAATACCCTAGTTTATTTGAAGATTTTTTTTGTAGCCATTTCATGTTCATCAGATTGTTCATACTCCCTCTCTTCAACCAGTGATCTATTTTTGCTATTAAGTAAGAAGATAAAAATAAATCACAATCTATAAGAATGTCAGAATAAAAACTACCTAGTAGCTTATAATGGTGTTCAGCTGACCAAGACATGAGTATACTTATCAGCTAACCTCATGGCCCCATATGTCTACTTGAGCACTCAGAGCCCTGAAGAAGTTCTGTTAAAGTGGGGAAATGCTTATTATAGCTCATTGATTCTAAGGTACATATTTCCCTCATTTTAACACCTCTGAAATTGTGGTATGTCCTACAGTCAATGACATCTTACATTGATTTTATTTCCTCGTAAATGGTGTATCAATTATATCACATCTTAGATTTGGTGAAATGTGACAAATGATATTAGTCATTGAATTAAGAAAACTCATTCTCCTCATTTTTTCCTGTCTGCCCTTGGATGTACATGTTGAATAATTCTATGCCCATCCTTGCTTCACAATCAGGAGCTTACACAACCAGGAAGCTTATCACCCTCTTCCAGAGAGAGCCAATGAAACATCTTTTTGTTTTTGCAGGTTTTTATTAATAGACCACAAGCAGATATTCCATCTTCAGATCTATAACTATAAAAGGTACCATGAAACCTTTCTCCCTTCCCCATCCTTTCCATTCCTCTAGCCCTTGGGATCCCTCCTTAGGAACTCAGTTTGTGTGACTGTCCCTGGTACCATTTCTGGAACCTGCTCATCCCCAGATCCTTTCCAAAGTAACTCGCTAATACGGGTCTATTTGAGGTATTTCTGAGAAGAAAAGGGAGGAGGGGCATCCCTTTGCCCTACTCTGGGGGTAGTGACCAATTATTTCCTTATCCTTCCTGGATAGGACCTGCTGGCTCAATGACCTATAAGGGCCATTTCAGCACTTCATTCTGTCTATCTCCAAGGCTTCACCTTAGGTAAGCACTTTTGCTCTCATTCACCTCTGAGTCTTTGCAACTGAAGGTCCCTCTTGTTTGAGATGGACAGTATTACCTAGCAGTATGCACACTCTAGCAACATGAACGACATCAAGAGTAACCGAGAACTGTACCTGCAGTACACAGCCATGGCCCCCAAGCTGTTGGCCCACATCTCCAAATTGCTCATTGTTTGCCGGAATGCAGGCATTGCTGTCCCTAAGGGCATCAAAAACATCTTTGAGTTCACTTGGGAGGAGCTCATCACTGACCCCATGGTGCCTACCCCGTCCGACATCTTGGGCCTAGAGATCAACCTTGGAACCCCACCTGTGGTGCTTGTGGAACCAACCCCCGTGCAGATCCCCATCCAGAAGAAGCCACCACCACCACCACCACCAGTACAACCACCACCGAAGGTATCCACGTCCTCTGGGCCATCCAAGTTCTCCGCCCACTCTCCCACCCATGGCCATCAGGCGCATGTTGGCCAGGAGACCCTGCGCAAGTTCCAGCAGCAGTCTGTCCACCTGCTGACAGAGCTGCTCACGCTGAAGATGAAGGCCATGGTGGAGTCTGTGTCTGGTAAGCCTGGCTCGTCAGATTCTTTTCCATTTTTTCTGGACCCAGAAGGGTCTGCCTGGACTGATGTGTGTGTGTCCTGCACACCCACTCCAAATAGGTATATAAGCTTGCACTGAGAACAGATGGCAGCCATGGGTCTGCTATCAGAATCGAACTCCTCCCACGATCACTCCCAAGATTAACCCCCTCACTCCTCTCTGTTCTCTACGTTTTCCTCCCATTCCCTCAACTTTGCAGAGCCAAGACTGGAAGTTTGGCTGTGGAGAATGGTGCAAGGTCAGAGATACTGAAAGGTGGAGTTCATGTGGAAATGATGCAGAGGTGTAGAGAGGTGGCACCCAGGGGCAGAGGTTATGTGGAGTTGCCTGTCAGGAGGGATGATTGATGGGTGGCAAGACAGAGCCCAACAGAGCCAGAATCAGGGAGAGTTATGAGAACTGGGGTTCACCTATGGTGACAGCATCATCCCAAGATCAAGACCAGGACCGAGAGCCAGGTCAGTAATCAAGCCTTCCAGATGTTGTGTTGTTTTAAATACAAACAGCATCTGTACCAAGATCTATGGGTAGGAATAGAGAAGGGCAAGGGGTCAGAGAGCAAAGTGTCACCTGTCAGATTTTGAGAGCTCAAGACCCTTCTATTAGGAGCCCCCTCACACTTGCTTACCCTAGGAATAGATCTTCACTGTACCCTTATTTCCTGGACCATTTATGGAGGTCCTTTTCGGGAAGCATTAGCCCTGTGTTGGGAGGAAAATGAGTTGTTTTGATGATTCTTTTAGTAGGTGCCAACCCCCTGGATATTACAAGGCGCTTCGTGGAGGCCAGCCAGCTCCTCCACCTCAATGCCAAGGAGATGGCTTTTGATTACCTGACTGGCACAGTTGGGAGAAGTAGCTATGGTATTGGATCAGCATGGAAAGGTGGGTACCCAAGCTTCAACCCTTAGGTGAAAATTCAAACAATAACCAATCAGAATGCATTGGAAAGGTCAAATCCCCGGTTTAAATGTTTGACATTTTCAAGAGTTGAGGTGGATGTGGAGCAATAGAGATTTTCAGAAGCTGAAGGTGAGTGAATAATTGGTACAGTTCCTGTGGAGAGCAGTTTGGTGGTATCTGAGAGGAGGGAGATGCTCTAACATCTTACAAAACAGCAATATCTCTCCTAGGTCATTCCTTAGAGCTGTGCTTCTCAAACTATCTTCAGTGAAGGACCAATTTGTAAATTTCCAAACTTTTGTGGAGCGACCCTTTTAAAAATATGATAAAGATGTCACAGCAACTTTAAATTGTTATATAGTTTTCTAAATGTTTACTCTCAATTTTTGTACTCACCTAGTAAGGCCTGATATGGATTATACCAGTCCACAGGTCACACTTGAGAGTTGCACTTAGCATGTATGCAAGAAGTCATACAAGAATATTTATTGCAGAATCATTTAGAATGGGAAAAAACATTGGAAACAACCTAAATATCCATTGACAGGAGAAAAACAAGTAAATTATAGTCTATTTAGACAATGGAACAAAATGAGAAGTGAAAACGAAAATGAACTAAGCACTAAAGCATATATATCAAGAGAGATAAATCTCAAAAACTAGTGTTAAGCAAAAATAAAAAAAGTTATAGAAGACTACATTTGGTATGACACTATTTACATTTAAAAGATTTCAAAGTAATAATATATTGCTTATGGGTACATTATACAAAGTACAAATGTAAAAGTGTAAAGAAGAATGATGCAAAGTTGGGGGAAGTGATCTTTGGAGAGGGATGGAGGGGAATAGATCTGGAAGACAGTGACTCAGTCACATCTGTAATGTATCTCTTAAGCTTGGTGGATATACAGGTATTCATTCTGAATGCCTGAAAGTCCTCACTGTTAGGAGGTTTCACAGAGAAGCATAAAAAATTTATACAGTAATTCCCCCTTATCTGTGTTTCCACTTTCCATGGTTTCAGTTACCCGTGGTCAAAATATTAAATGGAAAATTCCTAAGTTTCAAATTGTGTGATGAAATCTGCCACTGTCTTACTTCCTCCCACCCAGGACATGACTCATCCCTACATCCAGTGTATCCATGTTGTATAAACTCCCAGCCTATTAGTCGCTGAGTAGCCGTCATGGTTATCAGATTGACTTTTGTAGTATCACAGTGCTTGCATTCGAATAACCCTTATTTTACTTAATAATGGCCCCAAAGCACAAGAGTAGTGATGCTGGTATTTCGGATATGCCAAAGAGTTCTCTCTTTAAGTGAAAAGGTAAAACTTCTAGACCTAATAAGGAAAGAAAAAAAAAATTGTATGCTGAGGTTGTTAATATCCCTGGTAAGAAAGAATCTACCTATGAAATTGTGAAGAAGGAAAAAGAAATTTATGCTGATTTTGCTGTTGCACCTCAAACTGCAAAAGATATGGCCATGGTGTGATAAGTGCTTAATTAAGATGGAAAAGGCATTAAATTTGTGGATAGAAGAAAATACATTCCGATGGATAGCATCATATTGCTCCAGAAAGCATTGAACCTGTATGAAGACTTCAACAAGGGATCCCCTGAAACAAGTGACACTGAGCCATTTACTGTAAGTAAGGGATGGTCACACAGATTTAGAAATACATTTGGACTGAAAAATATAAAAATTACTGGAGAGAGACCACATTCACAAAACTTTTATTTCAGTATGTTGTTATCATTGCTCTATTTTATTGTTGTTAATCTCTTACTGTGCCTAATTTATAAATTAAACTTTATCACAGGTATGTATGTATACAGAGGGTTCGGTACCATCCTCAGTTTCAGGCATTCACTGGGGGTCTTGGAATGTATCTCCTGTGGCTAAAGGGGGTCTACTCATAAACATTCTCCCTCACTTACACGTAAAACATATTGTAATTTTCTATTCCTCAGTTTCCTTTACTTAACAGACAAATGTTTTCCAACATGGCTATACACTTTTAATAATTATCATTTTGAGTGGGAATAAATTTCTTCTGTTTATGTTTCATAATTAACCAAATGCTTAGGTTTCCAGATTTTTTTTTTTTATTAGTGGTATAATATGCACTGGAATAGACAACTTTAAGTACATCACTTCTTATTTCTGTTTTATTGGTGATTAAGATTGATTATCCCGGAGAGGATTTATTGGGGCAGAGGGTCTCAATACATGTTCAGTTCTGACTAAAGATTGCTTTCTTGATGGGTTTTATGTACACCAACAGAGAACTGATTAGTTTTATTCTGTCTTTACCAGCATTGGCTATTGTTAGTTCTTTTCATTTCTGCTAAGTTATAAGATACTAAAAATTGTTCTAATTTCAGTTTTCGGATTACTAGTGAAGGTAAGTGATCGTTTCCATCATCCAGTGTGCAGTCTCTAGTTATAATTTTCGACTGCTTGTAAAGTTAAGTTTACCATTTTCTTTATGAATTTGAATGAGCTGTGTCAATGAATGAATTGCTTAACACTTTCCAACAATTTCCTGCCTAACCAATTAAATGATTATGTTTGGGGAAAGAACAAGGAAAGAATTTAATGAGGTTTATGGAAGAATGATAGATATTTTCCATTAGTGATGGAAGTGCTAAATATTCATTCTTGAGTGGTCAGATAATTAAATGATTCTGCGCTAGACAGTATAATTCTGCAAGAGACTGATCTATGTGTTGAAGAAGCGTTTGATTCTGTAGCTTGCATAAGGGAAAACTAAATTTTCTCTAAATTTTCTTTTAGCTGGCTCAGTGTTTATTCTTTCAACCTAATGCAGCAGTTATACCTGCATTTGCCCTTCAGTAATGTCACATTTTGTGCTTGTTTGCTGCCCCTGCTGCCTGCTCTAGTGTCATTTCTCTCTTGAGAGATATTGAGGGGGAAGAGGGTGCTGTGGAGATGAACTTTAATTTCTTTAATTACTCTGAGCCTGCTTGTGCATTTAAACATCTTTTTATTCCAAGATCTGGTTGTTTTGTACAACAGGGCACTTTAGAATATCTGGTCTGCCATACTGCTAGAACAAAAAGTCCATATTACGCTTTTGGTTAAAAAAATTAAAATTAAAAAATTGAAAGAAGTATCCCTCTCTCTTCCACTCTAGAGTCCCTCATGAACATCGCCGCCGTGGGAGTGAACTCGCCTTACCAGCTCATCTATGAGGCCTCTACTGGCTGTCTGAGTTTTTCCCTCTCGACTGGAAAGGAAGTCAAGAAGAAAGCAGGTAACTGTGGTTCCCAGCAAGACCTCTTAGCCTATCTGTAGGGGTGGAGTTGGGGAGAGGGATAGAAGATTTTTCTATTTAGGTTGATATAGTTTGATTTGGTTTTCTGATAAGAAGGATACACAGTTTCCCTGACTGACTATACACAAAAGCTATTGACACAGATTCTTCCCCATAAAACTGGTGCATCTCAACCTACTCACTCCACAGTGCAGTCTCATCATTTGAATGTTTACATGACCTCCCTCCTGGTGATGTGGTCCCCCTCACCTGAGACAACACCCCTCACAACCCCATATTTCCATCCCCTCAGTCTCCCAACTTCACCCCCTCTACTCAGAGAGATCTGTGTTGCTCCTCTTCACACAGCAAGTAGGGAACCAATATCAGAAGTGAGGTATTTGGATAGCAGACCTAGCAGTGTGTTCTAAACTAGGTCAGTTTGTGGAGGCAGGAAACAAAGATGCAGAGGGAACTCCTATTGAGGAAGACACACAACAGAAGGAAAGGCTTAAGAGAAAGAATGGGTGGCAATGAGGCCAAATAGTATCACAACGACCATGCAGCCAGAAGCTCAGAGGGCAGATAAGTTGGGCTGAAGAGGGCAGGGTAAGGCTTCAGGGGCAGGGTAAGGCTTCAAGGAACTCCCAGGTCACTCCCCTTCTCCCTGGGCTTTGATGGCAGAGTAAGGGAATAGGGTAAGTGGGGGAGGACTGCATTCAAAAGAGGTGATGGGAGGATTGATATAAGGTAGGAAAACTCAATGACTGTCCAATTGATTCCCACAGACACTGGAGGTAAGGCTGGAAGTTGAGAAGTTTGGATTTTATTCCTGTCCCAGCCCCTGGCTGGCTGTGTGGTTTGCCTTCCTCCAGACCCAACTCTCCATATCAAGCTGATCCTATATCCTTTCAGTTAGTGAACAAATGTTTACGAAACAATTGCTAATTGTCAGTCACTGTTCTAAATGTCAGGGGTACCCCTGTGGATTCTAAGACAAAGAATGCCTTCCCTAATGGATCTGGCATCCTCAGCTTCCCTGCACAGAGTAGAATCAGCTGCCCCTCTCATTCCCCTGGTTCCTTTACGTCTGTTGATGTGTTTTCTCTCCCTGTGGTTCAATAACCCGTATCATCACTTCTGGCATCCCACTTTATGTACCTCTGATTTTATCATATCCACTGTCACTTTAAGGGAAAACGAACAGTGATTTCATGATTTTTTCCCCCTAATCACCTCAAAGGTAATGCTTGAGTAACGCCATTACTAAGCAAAAGTTAAATATGTTTCTTTGTCTTTTTGTCTATATAGCTGTTTTCTTCTGCTACCCCACCAAGATGTGATTTGTCATGACTTTGCATCATCCTGATTAGGATGTATGTTCAATGATACTGCATTTCTTATAGCTTCTTGATAAGTTTTGGAATTATTCTCACATATGCATGCTAGGATGGGTGACTAACCTTCCCTAATAGTTTATAAGTAATCATGTAACCTTTCTTGCCCAGGAAAGTCCCAGTTTATGCTTATTATCTTGGTATAACTATTAATTATGCCTACTTTCACTGTAAAAACTTTCCCAGTTTGGACAATATAGAGTCATTCTGGTTTTAAGTCACTCTGGTTTGGGACCCCTACTATCTGTTCCATGCACATGTGCTATCACACCTCACCAGCTGGCCCCCTTTGCAGTTGTAGGGCCAAGAAGACTTGGAGCATGCACAGGCTCCAGGGTTTGGGCCTACTCCCTGAGGAGACAACAGGTATTTCTGGAAAGTAGCCCAACTTTACAAGAAGAGAACTGAGGAAAATCTATCAGCAGTAGATCCTGGTTGGAGCTCCCACTCGAGGACCCAAGGCAACCAGGGATAGGCCAAACATGGATGCTGAGGCCAGCAGATGTTTCAGGAGGTCATTCAGCTAGTAGCTGGGCCTCAGGGCCAAGTCTCTGGTCTCTGGTGTTAGGAGGAATTGGAGAAGGAACCAGGAATGACTCAGGGTGGCAAATACCAGAGATGGTACCTACACACTAGCCAGAAACTGCAAAGTTTGACTGACAACAAGGAAAACTCCTTCTGAGGCCCTCAGGGCTCAGTTGGAGCCTGAGCAATACACCTGACATGAAGTCAGGTTTTATTCTTGAAACCAAAGTGCAGTTGTTTCTGCATATATCAAGGGAGAGCATGTGGCTCCAGCTGGGTGGGTGGTAGAGGCTCAGAAGCAGACAGAACCTGAATAGATGCCTCTGGAACTTCAGTCATGGAGGATCTACCTCCATAATTTTATATCACCATATCCTTATGCCACCTAATATTTTCTACAGGCAATAAATGTGAAAATAAGTGCAATAAGCACAAAACATTGCCATCCACAGATCTGAGCAGGCAGAAGAAAGAATAAGCAAATTTGCAGACAGGACAATGGAAATTATTGAATCTAAAGAACAGAAAGAAAATATCGAAAAAAAATGAATAGAAACTAAAGGAGCTGTGGTACACCATCAAGTGAACATACACAATGTGAGAGTCCCAGAAAGAGAAGAGAAAAAAAGGGATAGAGAAAATATTTGAAGAAATAATGTCTGAAAAGTTCCCAAATTTGATGAAATCATGAATATAAACATCAAAGAAGCTCAATGGACTCCAAATAAGATAAGCTTAAAGAGACGCACATTGTAATCAAACTTTCAAAAGACAAAGACAGAAAATCTTGAAAGCAGCAAGAAAAAAAGCAAATTGTTACATACAAGTAATACTCAACAAGATTACAGGTATATTTTGCATCAGTAACTTTGGAATCCACAGGCACTGCACTGATATAATCGAAGCACTTAAAAAAATTTTATATCCAAAAATTTTATATCCAGTAAAACTGTCCTTCAACAGTGAGAGAAATATTAAAACATTCTCAAATAAACAAAACCTGAGAGAGTTCATGACCACTAGATCAACCTTGCAAGAAATGTTCAAAGGAGTTCTTCAAGATGAAATGAAAGGACACTAGGTAGTACCATATGAAGAAGCCATATGGAGAAATAAAGATCGCCATAAAAGTAAATACATGGGCAGTTATAAAAGCTAGTAGTATTGTAACAATGGTTTGTAACTGCACTTTTTGTTTGATACATGATTTAAAAGACTAATAACATTTTTAAAAATATTATTAGTGTAAAAGCTAGTATTACTGTAACTGGTTTATAGCTCCAAATCTTGTTTTCTATTTAATTTAAAAGTGGAACATACATTTAAAAGAACTGCTAGTTTAAGTTTTGGGGCACATAATATATAAAGGTATAATTTTGTGACATCAACAACTGAAAAAAGACAAAATAGTAAGAAGGAAAGTTTTTTCATGTTGTTAAAATTAGGCTGATAAAAATTCAAATTAGAGTTTTATAACTTTAGGATGTTAAATGTAATCCCCATGGTAACTCCAAAGAAAATAGCTATAGAATATACAAAAAAAGGAAATGAGAGAGGAATTGAAATATTTTACTCCAAAAAAATCAACTAAACACAAAGATAGTAATGCAGGATATGAGGGACAGAAAGCTATAAGGCATATAGAAAACAAAGAGCACAATGATAGAAGCAAGTCCTTTCTTATCAGTAATTATTTTTAATGGCTTAAAGTCTTAAATCAAAAGATAGAGCTTGGTAGACTGGATAAGAACACATGATCCAACTATATGCTATCTACAAGAGACACAATTGATATCCGGACACAAACAAGTTAAAAGTGAAAGGATGGAAAGAGATATTCCATGCAGATAGTAACCAAAAAAAATCAGGAGTAGCTATACTAATATTAGACAAAATAGACCTTAAGTAAAAAAAAAAAACAGTTACAAGAGATAAAGAAGAATACTGTATATTAGTAAAAGTTTCAATACAGCAAGAAGATATGACAATTATAAACATTTATGTACTAATGACAGGCCATAAAAATACATGAAGCAAAAACTGACAGAAATAGACAGTTCTACAATAATAGTTGGAAACTTTGATATGCCACTCACAATAATGAAAAAAAAAAACAACAAGATAAGGACAGAGAACTTAAATAAAACAATGACCCAAGTAATTCTAAGACATATTCAGAACACAAACAAACAAACAAAAATAGAATATGCATTCTTCTTAAGTGCACATAAGACATTCTCCTGGATAAGCCATATGTTAGGCCTCAATAGATTTAAAAAGATAGGTAGTGTACAAAGTATCTTCTTCAACCACAATGGAATGAAGTTAGAAATTGATAACAGAAAAAAAAAACTGGAAAATTTACAAAATTTTGGAAATTAAATAACACTCTTAAACAACCAGCAGATCAAAGAAGAAATCACTAAGGAAATTAGAAAATACTTAGAGATGAGTGAAAATGAACAGATAACTTACCAAAACTTACGGGTTGCAGTGAAAGTGATACTAAGGGGGAAATTTATAGTTATAAATGCTTACATTAAAAGATAAGAAAAATCTCAAGCAACCTAACTTAAGGAACTAGAAGAAGGACAAGAAACTAAACCCAAAGTTAGAGAAAGAAGAAAATAATAAAGATTAGAGTGGAGATGAATGAAGTAAAGAATAAGAAAAAATAGAGAAAATGTAATTCTTTGAAAACATCAACACAATTAGCAAATCTTTAGCTAGATCAGCTAAGAAAAAAGGGAAGACTCAAATTACTAAAATAAATGGAAAAAGGGACATTATTAATAATTCTCCAGAAATAAAAGGATTATACAAGACTATTTTGAACAACTGTACCAGCAAATTGGATAACCTACATAAAATGGACAGATTCCTAGAAACACAAAACCTACCAAGACTATCATGAGGAAATAGAAAATTTAAATAGACTTATAAATGGTAAGGACATTGGATCAGTAACCAAAAAAACAATTCCCAACAAAGAAAAGCCCTGATAGCTTCAAAGGTAAATTCTACCAGACATTTAAAGAAGAACTAATGCCAATCATTCTCAAACTTTTCCGAAAACTTAAAGAGGGAACACTTCCCAACTTATTCTATGAAGCAAGCATTAACCTGATACCAGGACCAGACTACAATAGAAGCAAAACTGCAGACCAATATCCCTTATGAACATTGATGTAAAAATCCTCAACAAAATACTAGCAAACAGAATTCAGCAGCATATTAAAAGGATTATGCACCATAATGTCAAGGGAGATTTATTCCTGGAATGCAAAGATGATTCAACATACAAAAAAAAAAAAAATGTAATTCACCACATTAACAAAATGAAGGAGAAAGAAAACACATGATCATCTCGATTAATGCAGAAAAAGCATTTGACAAAATTTAATACACTTTCATGACAAAAACACAACAAACTAGGAATAGAAGGAAACCATCTCCATATAATAAAAGCCATATATGAAAAACCCACAGTAAGCATTATACTCAGTGGTGAAAGACTGTAAGCTTGTCTTCTAAGATTAGGAACAAGGGAAGGATGCCTGCTTTCACTTCTATTCAACATAGGACTGGACATCCTAGCTAGAACAATTACACAAGAAAAGGCATAAAAGACATCCAAATTGGAAAGGAAGAAATAAAATTATTTCTGCAGATAATATAATTTTATATGTAAAAACCCTACAGATCCCACCAAAAAAAAAAAAAAAAGCAAACCATTGGAACAAATAAATGAATTCAGCAAAGTACCAGGATAAAGGCAACACACAGAAATCAGTTGTATTTTTATACATGAGCAGTGAACAATCTGAAAAGGAAATTAGAAAAACGATTCCATTTACAAGAAATAAAATACTCAGAAATTAACCAAGGAGGTGAAAGACTTGTACAGTGAAAACTACAAAATATTGCTGAAAGAAATTAAAAACGATATAAATAAATGGAAACACATCCTCTTTTTATGGGTTAGAAGACTTAATATTGTTAAAATGTCAATACTACCCAGGGCAATCTACAGATTCAGTGCACTCTCTATCCAAATCCCAATTGTGTTTTTTGTAGAAATAGAAAAGCTCATCTTAAAATTCACATGGAATCTCAAGAGACCCATGAATAGCCAAAGCAATCTTGAAAAAGAACAAAACTGGAAGACTGACAGTTCTTAATTTCAAAACTTACTGCAAATCTACAGTAATCAAAACAGTGTGATGTTGGCATAAAGACAGGCATATAGACCAATGGGATAGAATAAAGAGCCCAAAAGTAAACTTATGCGTATATGGTCAAATGATTTTTGACAAGGTGCTAAGACCATTCAATTGGAGAAAGAACCATTTTTTCAACAAATGGTGCTGAGAAAATTGGACATCTACATGCAAAAGAATGAAATTGGACTCTTACCTGACACCATATACAAAAATTAACTTCAGATGGACCAAGCGCCAAAATGTAAGAACTAAAGCAATACAACTCTTAGAAGAAAACTTTGGAGAAAGATTTTATGGCATTGGATTTGGCAATGATTTCTTGGCTATAACACCAAAGGCACAGACAACACAAGAAAAAAGACAAATTGGACTTTATGGAAATGTATTAATTTTGTGCATCAAAGACACTATCCACAGAGTAAAAAACGGCAGCCTACAGAATGGGAGAAAATATTTGCCAATTCTATATTTGATAAGGAGTTGATATCCAGAATATGAAGAGAACTTTAAAACTCAACAACAGCAACAAACCTAAATTGAAATGGGCAAAGGACTTGAATAAATATTTCTCCAAAGAAGATATTCAAATGGCCAATAAGCACATGAAAGATGATCAACATCACTAACCATTAGGGAAATACCAATCAAAACTATAATGAGATACCACTTTACCCCCAGTAGGATATCCACTATTACAAAAGCAAACAATAAAAGTTGAAGAGGATATTGAAACACTTGCATGCTGCCGATGAGAATATAAAATGGTATAGCCACTGTAGTAAACCGTATGGCAGTTCCTCAAAAAATTTAAAATGGAATTACTATAAGATGCAGCAATTTTACTTCTGGATATATATCAAAATAATTGAAAGCAGGGTCTTGAAGACGTATTTGTATACCCGTGTTCATAGTAGTATTATTCACAATAGCTAAAATATGGAAGCAACCCAAGTGTCCATCAATGGGTAAATGGATAAATAAAATATGGTCTATATATACATTGGAATATTACTCAGCCTTAAAAAGGAAAGAAATTCTGACACATGTTACAACATGGATGAACCTTGAGGACCTTATGCTATGTGAAATAAGGCAGTCACGAAAAGATAAATACCGTGTGATTCCACATATATGAGGTACTGAGAGTAATCAAAAAGACAAAAAGTAGAATGGTAGTTCCCAGGGACTGCAGTAGTAGAGAATGGGGAGTGATTGTTTAATGGGTACAGAGTTTTAATTTTACAAGATGAAAAGAGTTATTGAGATGGATAGTGGTAATGGTTGTCCAGCAATGTGGATGTATTTAATACCACTGAACTATACACTTAAAAATGGTAAGATGGTAAATTTTTGTTATGTGTATTTTACCACACTATTAAAAAAATTATAGTCTCAATGGATCCACACTTTCCTCTGCAGAAGGCCTGAGATTAACCAACATCAGAGAAGTGTTGAAACCGATCAAGATGGAATTGAGATTTTTGGTCTTTAATCAAAAATATAAGAAGGGAATCACTTAAGTATCCACAGCAGCACACATCTGTGCTCTCTCCACCTAGAACAAGGCTGCCTTTAAGGAAACACGGCTGGATTCATCATTCTGCACAAGTCTGTTCCTGATACATGCTTTGTTGACTTACGGAGTGATGTCTCTGTTTTATCAGTGACCATATAAGTGACCTTATAAAATAGGGATTCCTGTCCCAAGGAAGCATAAACGATTCTCCCAATTATTTTGACTTTCAGGGGATGCTGCTCTTCTGCTCTCCCCAACCCCTCTCCCCAGGAGAAACCATTTTCTAAAACCCCTGTCTAACCTCTTCATCTCCAACTACAGGCAAATCAAAAAATTTAGAAGAGATACCCATGTCATCCCCTCAACGAGGAATGGGAACCTCTGTATCTGACAATGTGGAGATCAGTGACCCCTGCCCAGAAGCCCGGGAGAAGCTGCAGGAGATGTGTCGCCATATGTGAGCACCTCAGTGGTTGGGGGTGGTTGGAAGAGGAAGACACAGCCACCAGTAGCCTGTGTGCACATGAAGGGGAATATCACAAAAGTATCTGAACCGTGCCAGCAAGTGTCAGGTACCCAGTGCCCCCAACAATAGTGACAGGGTGACAGCCTGTAACCATCCTTCCCACTCACAATCCTATTCAGTCCTCATTCGACCTCATGAGGAAGACAGAATTTATACCCATTTTGCAGATAAGGAAGCTAAGGCAGCCCCAGCAGGCAGGTAAGGCATTGCCTGAGGTTCTGCATCTTGGTGAGCCTGACCCCATGCACTGATCTCTGCCTCCTCACCAGTGATACCCCATTTGCAGGACTTCTTATAGTCTGCAGCCTTGTGCCCTGAAAGTTTCTTTCTTAACATAATTTGTCAGAGTTCTCCTACAAAAAGAAAAAAAGAAAGAAAAAAAGAAAAGAAACACCTTTCAAAACAAAAAATATTAACATGGATGATTAATAATATTTATGATTTTGTGGGTCCCACAAGTCCCGGCAAGTTAAGTCTACATTTCTCCAAAATCTCAGACCATGGACCATAAAGGATTTAAAACCTAGTCATATCTAAGCCATATATGTCTTGGACTCCCTGGGCAATTACAGATACAGAACATGAGTAGCGGGCAACCACCAAGTGTCGCCCCTTACTGTGACATTCTGGAAGGAAGCCTTCTCTCCCTGTAACATCAGGACTGATCCCCTAGGTCCCCCTCTAAAAGCAGTCCCATTCCATAGGTCCTCACCTAGCACTATAGGTGGAAAGGACTGGTCTCAGAGGGGTACCGGGACCTTCCCAATTTTCCTAAAAGCACTACTTTTAAGGATGAGGGGTGTGGAGTGGGAACACATATTTTTGGGACAGGGAAATGGAATGGGAGTCTTGGGAGCTGGGGGTGGGGGGGCCTGTAGAAAGCCTCCCTGGTGAGTGAGAGCCAAGTGGCTAGAAGATATGTTGGTCTCCTTCCCTGCAGAGAAGCCGAAAGGACCTTGTGGAAAGGGAGGAATGTCTTCTACCCCATGATCTTACGCCACTACAAGGCAAAGATGCCCTCTCAACCAATGTCGGCCCCAAAAGGGGACACTCAAACCTCGAGCTCTCATCACCCTCAAACTCCAGGTGCTCAAACTTCTACTTCCACCCCTCACCAGCCTCCCACCCAACATGCTCACTTCAGCCGGCACTCTCAGGATTGGAAGGGATCCAAGAAGACCATCAAGTTGCATTACACCTTCTATGATGGGACTTCCTTCGTTTAGTATCCTTTTATTTGGTGCTGCCTTTTCTCTCAATAATTCAGCTCTAGGGAACGTCTGGGCCAGAAAAAGCCTTAGTATTTACTTTGAATTATTTTTAAAAAATTTATTGAGGTGATATTGGTTAATACAATTATATAGGTTTCAAGGGTACAACTCAAAAATACATCATCTGTATATTACATTGTGTGTTCCCCACCCAGAGTGAAATCTCCTTCTGTCACCCTTTTCTATCTCCCCACCTCCCTCCTTTTCTTCTGGTAATCACTGAACTATTATTGTCCGTATCTATGAGTTTTTGTTTGTCTTGTTCGCAATTATATAGGTTTCAAGGGTACAACTCAAAAATATATCATCTGTATATTACATTGTGTGTTCCCCACCCAAAGTCAAATCTCCTTCTGTCACCCTTTTCTAAAATCTCCCCACCTCCCTCCTTTTCTTCTGGTGATCACTGGACTATTACTGTCTGTATCTATGAGTTTTTGTTTGTCTTGTTCATTTTTTGTTTTCAGTTTTATTGATCAGAGAAGCCTGGCGACAGGTCCTCCAGGATATTAAGAGTTTCTTCAGGTCAGAGAAGGTGCCCTTTGGAGAAAGTCTGGGTGGGAAGCTGCTGATGAGAAAGTCACCTTGGACCCCTGTGTTTTTTGCAGAGGCCCTGTCACCCACTCTTCAACTTGTGCTAGAACTGGTCCAGACCCCAGATACCCGACACATTTGACAGCAAGGCTGAGGTCAGAGAAGGAGAAACGATTATCCCAGGTTCTGCAGTCTGAGCTAGATAGCTGTCAAAGAGGGATGACACGAAGCCATTCATTCCTACCCCTTGATTGTAGGACTGTGACTCACTCAATGTCACAAAAAGAATTTGGTACCAGAGCCAGGCCTGGGTCCAGGGCTGCCGCACCTCCATTTAGAGCTCTCTCTCAGGCACCGTTTCATGCCTTTCAGGATTGTTTTCTCCATCAGGGAGCGGGATAGGGAAGATTGAAGGGGACTGATCGAAACCACTGGACACTCAGTGTCCCCTACCTTTGGAGGAGAGGGTGGTTCTCTGAGTTGTCAAACAGGCTGCCCAGACAGGCCTGCCTGGCAACAGCCCTCTCCACTGATCTGGGAATTCAGAATTTAAGCACCCTGCCAAAGGAGTCCTATTGTTTTTGACCATGAATGAATCCATTCATCACACTCTGCTCGGCCCTGCTTCTAATGTGCCCTGTGATAGTGAACACAGCACACTCCTTCCAGGGTAGCTGCTGCTCACTATTGGTCATGGGGCTTCTGCCTCCCACCTTTTCTGACTCTACACTACATCAAATAGCATAATCCCCCTGAGCTCCTTGTGAAGTTGTGTCTCTGAATTAGGGTGCTATCAGCAGGACCAGAGATGGTGGACTAGTCTATGATCAGGCCCAACACCAGCCTGCTGGGATCCTTGTTCTCTTACCTGTCTCAAGAGTGGTGAGGGCCCCCTGATGTGGGACCACCTGAAACCTGCAGGTCATCACTAATGGCACGCTTGACTCATACCCCAGCAATGATCACATCCTAGCAATTAATTTGTTTCTAGGCCCAGTTCTTGGTGAACATGCACAAGTCACTTTATATCTCTTGACCTCACTTCCCTCCATTATAAAATAAGGAAGCTGAACTCAGTGATCTTGAAAAAGAGATTCTGTGTTACTGTGTTCAAATGGTTTAAACACATGTGCACCTTTGGATCTCTCTTGAGTAGAGAAAATGTTTGGAAAACACTTCCTTTGCCTCATGGCTTCCACAGAACAGTGGGCTCAGCAGTTGATTCTGTTTTCGTGGAGATTACTGGGCAAAGCTCTCAGGTAGAAATGATACATCTGCCCTTGGATTGCCAAAAAGCTCCAAGCCCTGATGAGTTTGCACTTGTCAGCATCAGACCCTAGAACCACCCCAGTATTGATTTCATTTGGGTTGTCAGCATCTCTCTTCCCTCAATCACTATTCTCTAATCAAACTGCCCTTAAAGCCTTTTTTTTATACGAAGATATAAAGTCATAACATTAAAAACAAACCATAATTCCTGTGTACCTGGTACTGTGCTCAACACTATTCCTTTAGGGATTTGTTGAGCACTCAGAGCCACTGTGTGAGGTAAGCATTTTTTTTAATATGGTAAAATGTACAGAACATAAAATTTATCATTTTAACCATTTTGAAGTGTACAATTCAGTGGCGTTAAGTACATTCGCAATATTACACTACCATCACTGTTATTTAGTTCCAGGACTTTTTCATCACCCCGAAAGGAAACCTTGTGCCTATTAAGCAGTCACTCCCCCTTTTCCCTCCCCACCCCTCCCTGGAAGCTGGTAATCTGCTTTTCACCTCTATGGATTTGCCTACTCCAGAGATTTCATATAAAGTGAATCACACACTATGTGGCCTTTTGTATCTGGTTTCCTTCATTTAGTATAATGTTTTTGAGGTTCTTCCACATTGTACAATTGACCCTTGAACATCACGGGTTTAATTGTGTGGGTCTACTTATATGTGGGTTTTTTTTTTTTTTTCAATTGACTCATGCAATTCAGTTGGCCTTGCTGAGTTCAGTTGACCAAAATTCAAAAATCTGTGTTGTTCAAGAGTCAACTAGAGGTTGAGAATTCCTGTATGTGGAGGGCCGACTTAAGTCATATGCAGATTTTCGACCACAGGGGCAGTCAGGATCACTAACCCTTATGTTGTTTAAGGGTCATCTGTAGTATGCATCAGTACTTCATTTTTTTTTTTTAAGTGGGGGCAAAATTCACATAACATAAAATTGATCCTTTTATGTGTACAATTCAGTGGAATTTAGTACTTTTACAATGTTGTGTAACCACAACCTCTTTCAAGTTTTAAAATCTTTTTATCATCCCAAAAGAAAACCCTACACCTATTAAGTGTGGAGTAAACAGCCCCTGACGATCACCAATATATTTTGTCTCTATGGATTTGCCTATTTTGGATATCTTATATAAATGGAATCCTATAATATGTGGCCTTTTGTGTCTGGCTTCTTTCATTTAATATAATGTTTTCATTATGTTGTAGCATGTATCCAAATTTCCTTCCTTTTTATGACTGAATCATATTCTATTATATGGATATACCACTTTTTAAAATTCATTCTTTTGTTTGTGGACATGAGGTTGTTTCCATTCGACTATTGGGAATAATGCTGCTATGAACATTCTTGTATGTTTTTATTTGCACAACTTTTGTCAATTCTTGGGGGTCTATACCTAAGAGAGCAATTACTGGGTCATATGGTAATTCTATGTTTAACTTATTGAGGAACCTCCAAAGTGTTTTCCATAGTGGCTGCACCATTTTACATTCCCACCAGCAATGTATGGGGTTTCCAATTTCTTCATCCTTGATTATAATTGATATTTTCCAATTTTTTAAATTCCAACCATTCTAGTGGGTATTAAGTGATATCTCATTGTGGTTTTGATTTGCATTTCCCTAATAACTAATAATTTTGAGCATCTTCATGTGACTTCTTTGAGATATCTTTATAGAAATATGTATTCAAGTTCTTTGCCTGTTTGTTGATTATCTTTTTCTTGTTGAGTTTTAAGAGTTCTTTATATATTATGGGTGCTGGACTCTTATCAGATATGTGATTTGAAAATCTTTTTCCTATACTGTGGGTGTCTTTTTACATTCCTGATAGCATCTTTTGGTGTACAAAAATGTTTAATTTTGATAAAGTCTTATTTTTCTGTTTTTTGTTCCTGTGCTTTGGTTTTCATATCTGAGAAACCGTAGCTTATTCCTGGTGGTTTTTATTTTTTTCTGAAAGTTTTATAGTTATAGCTCTTACGTTTAGGTCTTTGATCTATTTTGAGTTGATTTTTTTCACATGGCGTGAGATCAGGATCCATCTTCATTCTTTTGCATGTGCTACCCAATCATCCCAACGCTGTTTGTTGGAGAGATTATTCTTTCCCTCATTTGAATGGTCTTGGCACTCTTGTTTAAAATCAGTTGACTATAAATATTATGGTTTATTTTTGGACTTTCAATGATATTCCATTGATTTATATGTCTATTATTATGCCAGTACCACACTGTTTTGATTATTGCAGCTTTGTGGTGTTGAAATCAGGAAGTGTGAGTCTTTCAACTCTGTTTTTTTTCAAGATTATTTTGGTTACTTGAGTTTCTTGCAATTCTATATGAATTTTAGGATAAGTATCATTAACATAGATTTACAATTGTTATTTTATGCACTTGTTTTTTCAAGTCATATAGGAGAAAAGAGGCATTATAAACCAAAAATACTATAATAATGGCTTTTATATTTACTTATAGAATTACTTTACTGGTGTCCTTTTTTCTTTGCATGTCTCTGAGTTACTGCCAAGTGTCCTTTCATTTCAGCCTGAATGACTCCTTTCAGTGTTTCTTGGAGTGGTGAACTTCCTCAGCTTTTGTTATCTGCGAAGTCTTAATTTCTCCTTCATTGTTGAAGGATAGGTTCTGATGAGAAATTGGCCATTAATCTTACTGAGGATCCATTGTAATGACACGTCTCTTTTGCTGCTTTCAAGATTCTCTCTTTATCTTTTTCTATTGGTAGTTTGATAATAATGTATCTCAGTGTGGCTCTCTTTAAATTTATCCTACTTGGAATTTGTGGAGCTTCTTGAATGTGTGGATTAATGTCTTTCATAAAATATGGGCAAATTTCAGCCATTATTCTTCAAATATTATTTCTGCCCTCTTCTCTCTCTCCTCTCCTTCTGGGACTCTTGTTATATTGGTCTGCTTGGTAGTCTCCCACTAGTCTTTGTTAATTTTTCTTCATCCTTTTTTCTTTCAGACAGGATTAATTTCAATTAATCTATCTTTCAATCCACTGATTCTTTCTTCTACTGCTCCAATCTGATGCTAAATCCATCTAATGATTTTTTTTTTCTTTTTATTTATCATGCTATTCAACTTCAGAATTTCTGTTTGGTTAATTTTTATAATTTAAATTTATATTTTATTTTTTATCAGTTGGTGGGAAAGGATTAAGGAGGTGGACCCTAGTGCCAACCACTGAAATTCTTTTGTCTGGGATACTCCTGAAATTCCTGCAAACAGGATAGTAGCTGCCCAAATCGTATCCCTCTTAGTTGGAACCAATGCTTCTTGGGCCTCCTTAGTAGGAAATGAGCAGGGAAACATTGACCGCTCTCCTAGATAGGTCAGAAGGGGAGGCAGCCTAGCAGCATTAGAAATATCACTGGCCTCAGAGCTGAGATACTGGCTCTATCACTTTCTTGTGGTGTGATATGAAGCAGATCATTTCTCTTCACCTTGGATTCCTCGTTTGTTGAGTAATCAACTCATCCTGTTTTGCTCAGGACTTTCCTGGTTTTAGCAATGAAAGTCCCACCATCCCAGGACATCCTTCAGATTCAGGGAAACCTTACACATCTTGGCAATGGTGATAATACCTACCACAAGGTGGTTGCGGACAATAGAAAGAAGATACAGGGAAGCACCAGATGCATGTGAGTTTCACCGTCATTTAGTTGTTACTTATACAAAGTGCAAAGAGGGTCTTCGAAGACTGGGAATTATGTACCATTTAACTAACACTTTGACTTGTAGACTTGCTTTTCCTGGGGCACCTGAGAGCAGAACCTGAAGAGTTTTGTTGTTAGTTCTACTTAACCATTTCCGCCAGCTATCCCTCCGGAAACATTGCCATGTGTCAGATACCCACGTGCTGCAGAGGGAGAACCATCACCTGCCTCTTTAATGACACACCCAACTTCTCTTTCCTGGCCCTGTTCAATGCCGAAGGCCAGGGCTGTGTTCACTACAACCTAAAGGCCCGGTGAGTGGGTTAGGGGGATTCTGGCTCCATGCAAGCATTTCTGGGAGTAACAAAGAGGAGCACTGAGGTGGCAAATAGGAGTCCTTGGGGAAAAAGAGAAGCCAGGCAGTGTCCAGAGGTCCAGGAAGGCAGTGAGGCACTGCCGACAAGGATGTAGATATTTTCAAGCCCTCGCTTGCTGGATCTGTGTCCTATAGCCAATGAGAATGGCAACTCTCCAAGTCCTACTCCACTTGTATCCTCATGGCACTAAAAACTTGATTGCTGGCTAGGTTCATGGAAGGATTCTTTAGTGGAGAGAAGTGTTTTATACTAGGAGAGAGTGAAAAAGAGACCATGGGCATCCCTTCTGTGGAGTGTTTAAAGAGAAGCACATATTTTTGCCGGCCAAAAGTTGGTTTTTGTCTGGCCTTTCATAAAGAACTGTTCTCAGAAGAAATTACTTACTTTGGGTTATATATGTTCCCATTTTTGTGCCTGAGATCCTGTATACTTGAACTTCTGGGCAACAGGGTGCACATTCCATTTCTATCCCTGGATTTGGCTTGAGCCTCCATCATCTCCCTCAATCCTGCCCTTCCCAACAGATTCTTGAAATAGCATCAACAGGTGTGAAGAGGCCTCACACCATATTCAGTGGGGGAAGTGAGGCTGCCTGCAGGACTGCAAGCTTCCTCCAGCTGGGGCAGAGTTTCAGAGCCCTGCCTGCCTGTAGTGATGATGGCTTCCTTCCGGGGCCTGGTGGCGGCTCCTCACCTCTGTGTCTCTCCTAGCTGCCCATATGTCTTGGTCTTGGATGAGGAAGGCGGGACCACTAATGACTACAAGGGCTACGTAGTCCACAAGTGGAGCTGGACTTCCAAAACGGAGACTTTACTCTCCTTGGAATATAAGGTAGGGGTGGGCAGCACAGGTGGGGCAGCCCCAGCAGCCTTCCCTGGGATGCTCAGCATTTATAGTCAGAGGGCCACCTGTAAGACAGGATACCCCCACCCCCAGGAGTTTGTAGTCTCATTTAGAGGTTCCCAAGTTGCAGGGCAGTGGTCCAAGCTGGATGAAGTGAACTTTTCACCAGCCTACATCAACTGTTGGCTGCTGTACTCACCTTTGTTGGTAATACCTTTCCTGTTGTATTTTTATTATTAATATTATTACATTTTGATAGTATAAATGCCTTTTATTTTAGAAAGTTACCATTATTAATCATTATAGTAGTTGATGGTTTTATTTTTAATACCTATATGTGGCAATAAGAAATGTTAACAATTCTTTGTTGGTCTCCCATGTTTTTGTTTTTATAACTTTACTTCTGTGAAATAAAATCTGGTAGTCAAAGGTGTCTGATAGGCACAACCCTTTTTTCATTCATTGGGTTGTTCAGACAGCCATTCATCAAAGATTTATTAATTTATTATTTAATGTTGAATTGTTAATATTAAATAACAACTCAGTAAATTTAATTTATTAATAAAGCAATCAAATGTGCTTGCTACTTTATCTAAGGAGAGTTTCTCATCTCTAGTTAGCACTACTGACATTTGGGGATGGGTAATTCTTTGTTATAACTGTGTAGGATATTTAGCAACATCCCACTAGATACCAGTGATACCCTCTCCTCCAGTTGTAACAATCAAAATATATCCCCATATATTGTCAGATGTCCCCTGGGGACAAAATTTCCCCTAGGTAAGAATCACCAATCCTGGGGAAAAAAAGATAAATAAGACCCCTTGAATAACTCAGAAGTCTGGGTGGGAGTTAATAAGAACGCAGGGTAGAGAAGGATAAGGGCTGTGAGAGACAAGCTCATAAGGCTGGAATTCAGAGAAAGATCACAGAACATAGAATCCACCCAAAGTGGCATGAGATTAAGAGCCCCAAGGTAAGACTGGAAAGAGGCACTCTTGGAATGCATGGTGGGGTTCAAGCATCCTACCTCTAACCTTCTGTCTGGTGCCCTTCCTGTTTATCATCTACATTGGCCACTGCATTCTCATCCTTATATCCCGATTCCTTGAGATCAGTGAACCTCTGCTCAGAAACATACAATCTCTTGAACACATTTCAACCTTCCTACACCCCTGACCTGAAGTGCATTTCCTTTTCTATTGGCCAATCCAAATTTTCCCTTCTTCAAACCCCTGCTCAGACTTCTCCTCCTTTGTGGGACCCCAGCCCACACCATTTCTCTCTTCTCACAGTGTCCACAGTCTGGATTAGTCATGTGATGATTAGTCATACATGAAGAGGTTCTCAGCTCTGGTTGTATATCAGAATCACCTATGGGACTTGAAAAAATGCGGATCCTCAGGCACAGCCCCAGAAGGATTCTGATTCCATTGGTCTGTTCTGGATTTTGAAGTTTTCAAAAGTATTTCTGATGCTTGGCCAGGTTCAAGATCCTTAATCTAGAGCTATATTGAGTTGTTGTCTTAATATTTAACTTTTTGTAGCTGTAGGAAAAGTTTATACTGAAAGAAGATAATAAATTGGTTTCAGGCAGGCACCATATGTTATGTGTCGGTGTGGCCAAGTCAAAGACAACTGGAATGAGAGTCTGAGGAGCCAAGTATGAGTGCCAGCTTTCCCAGACTCTGGCTGTGCAGCTTTGTGAAAAACACTCAGCTTCTCTCAGACTTGGTTATCTCACCAGACCTGCTCTCCTACCTCACACTGCTTTACGAGAACTAAATGAAATAATGAAGGGGAAGGTGTTTTTCTATCACTAAAGTGTTTTATCAGTGTATATTAGTTAATTGTTCTCTTCCTTGGAGCTGCATACAGAAATGCACAACAGGGCCTGATACAGTCAAGGCTGGCATGGAAGACAGTGTGACCCTTGAGTTGAAACATCAGTACGGATGCATAGGATCCACATAGAAGAAGGAAGAGAGAGCATTTGGGGTAGAGGGAGTAGCATCTATAAAGGCTGGAGTTAGGACTTAGTGTGGCATTGTTAAATGTTCACACATGTCTCTTATAAAAGAAATGGGAGCGAGAGGTGTATATGTTGTGGGTGGAGGTGAAAGGTATTGGATGTCAGGCTGAGGAGTGTTCTTGTTCTTTTGGAGGCTGCAGTAGCCAGTTTATTTTTACCCAGGTATTTAACATGTCCAGTATTCTTCATTCCATTCTGAAAAATCCAAATTTCTCTCTGGTATCATTTCTCTTCCACCCAAATAACTTCCTTGAGCATTTCTTAAAGTGCAATGAATTCTCTCTCTCTCTCTCTCTTTTTTTTTTTCCATGTGAAAAATGTCTTTATTAAAGGATATTTTTGCTGGATCTGGAATTCTGGGTTGACTTGTTTTTCCTTTCAGCATTTAAAGGTGATGTTTCACTGTGTCCGATCTCCATAGTTTATGATCAGAAGCCTGTTGTTATTCATATCGCTGTTCATTTTCTCTAGCTGCTTTCAAGATTTTATATTTCCTTTGATTTTCTAAGTTTGAATATGGTGTGTCTATTTGTTGTCTTCATAGTTATTCTGTCTGGGATTAATTGAACTTCTTGAATATGTAAATTCATAGTTCCCCCAAATTCAGGAAGTCTTCTTCCATTAGAAAAAGAGGGTATTTCAATTTCTCTCCTTTTCTTCTGAGACTCCAATTACATGTATTTTAGACATTTGAAGATCATCCCAAAAGTTCCTGAGGCTCTGTTATTTTTTGGTTGTTGTTTAAATTTTTTCCCTTTTCAGATCGAATAATTTCCATGGATCTATCTCCAAGTTCATTGACTTTATCCTGTCATTTCCATTCTGCTATTATGCTAATCCTGTGATATTTTTAAATTTCAGATGTTTTCAGTTCTAGAATTTTCATTTAGTTCTTTTCTACATTTTCTATTTCTCTGACATTTTCTACTTTTTTATTTATCATATTTTCCTTTACCTTGTTGAATAGAGTTAAATTAACTGCTTTAAAGCAGTGATCCCCAACCTTTTTGGCACCAGAGACCTGTGCTCCTCTGAGAATCTACTGCCTGATGATCTCAGGTAGAGCTGAGGTGGTGATGCTAGTGCTGGGGAGTGACTGCAAATACAAAGAAGCTTCACTTGCTCTCCTGCCGCTCACTCTTGCTGGGTAGCCCGGTTCCTAACAGGTCACAGACCAGTACTAGTTCCACAGCCTGGAGGTTGGGGACCCCTGCTTTAAAGTCTTTGATAATTTCAACATCTGGGTCATATCAGATAGGATTGCCCTCCACTGATTATCTGTTGCCCTGAGAGTGGCTCAGACTTCACTGGTTCTTCACATGTTGAGTAATTTTAAATTGCTGACATAGCGAATGTTATGTGGTGGAGTCTCTGAATTCTGATATATTTCTCTGAAGAGTGTTGACATTTTTATTTTAACAGGCAAGACTCACACCACAAACTTTTCTCACCTGCATTAGGCAGCGGCTCGAATCTCAGTTTAGTTTTTTTGTTCGTTTGTTTTCCTCGCTGTAAGCTGTCTTGAGTCTGCCTGCTCATGCAGAGTTCAGAGATCAGCCAGAGATGTGGGCATTTTATTCATAGAACTAGGAGCTCTATTTCTCCAGATCTGTCCCTTTGGAAATGTTTACTTTTCTGTAGTTGCCCCAGGTTCTGACCTTTGGTTCCTTGCACCAGAAAGATGGTAGAGTTTGGACCATGACTGTGGGTTGTCTTCAGGCTAAAGCTGTAAAACAGAAATTCAGCCCATGCTGGTCCTTTCTCTTAAGTCTTGACTCTTTAAAATCTTCCTGCTCTTTTTAAACTCTTCATAGTTTTGTTTTGTGTGTGTGTGCGAGGGGGCTTTTTTTTTGTTTTTTTGGTTTTTTTTGTTTATTTGTTTTTTAAAGCCTCTTAAGAGCTGATTCAGCTATACTGGAAGACGAACCAACTGGTTAGTTTTTAAGCTGAGGGCTGGCATGCTCAGCCCAGCATTCGTGTGAAAGATCTCATGGAAAGGAAAAGATCAATGCGCAGGCTAATAGAAAGACTAGTTGGGGGTTACTAGCCAGACCTGACATGATGAAGGATAGTGGCGATATTTTTAAAAGGAACCATTTCAGTAAAATAATTCAATGTTATTCAGTCATGGGCTGTGAGGGATAAATGAGAGGAAGAAGGAATTGTGAATGACTTCACAATAGAATGTGTATCTGGGTGGAAACAGAAGTTTCCGAGAGGATCAGAAATCAGTGTGTTTTTAGGTGTGCTGATTGGGTTTGCAAAGATTGTTGGATCCTCAGCTAGGGTGAGAGATTGGGGATGATGGATATATATAACTGAGTTGGCTCATGAACTCATGAGAAGACAAGCAGTGACTGAATTTGTAGAACATCTTCATCTGGGGCATTGGAGAGAGGAAAAGAAGCCCCCTAGGAAGGAGGGATAATAAAAACAGCTGTACCATGCCAAGCCCTTTGCCTGTTTTATCCCATGAAATCTGCTCAGTACCCGAGGAGACAGATTCTATTATTTTCCCCAGGCTCAGAGAAGGAAATCAACTTGCCTGAAATTGCCCAGCTGGCAAGTGGCAATACTGGGATTTGAACCTTGCCCAACTGTAATGCTTGAGTTTTCAACCGTGGCTCTATTCTACATCTCTCTAGAAAGAGAATCGGAGAGGGTAGGGTTTCTCTTAAGTGAGACTAATCACCAATTTTGAAGATGTCAAAAGACTTGGCAAGAAGACAGCCATGGGGGGTCAAATGTTTTCAGGGTGTTGGAGGGGACTAGCACCCAGATTACACAGTGCGAGGACAGGACTCGATGATGTAGTTGAGCGCGGCGGACCTTTGGGCTAACAAGTAGAATAGTAGAAAGAAATGAAAGGCACAAAGGAGAGTGTTTTCTTAGTTCAGAGCAGTCCTTGGGTGTATGTAGATCAAGGACATTGAAGACTGAAGGAAGCCTTGCCATGCAACAGTGTAGGGCTTCAGTCTCCTAGGCTGTGGGTAGGAGCAATGTGCTTGAATAACTGCACACGTGAACCATCCAGGGGCCTTACACGTGAGTTGCTCTGCCACATCCTGACAGTACCTGCTCATGTTTGGTATGGGCGTTTGTGTCTCATGAGGCCACTTCCAAAGTTCCTTATCTCATTTGAACCTGATAGTAGCCTTTTAACTATTACATATTGAAGAACTTTCACTTCAGAGAGGCTCAATGACATGCTAACAGAAGGCAGAACTGGGACTCACCCCTAGAACACAGAGTTCTCAGTAAGAAGTGAGTTGCTATAAGGGCAACTCACCCTCCTTGTGTTCTTACCTGGGACCAATACATAAGAAATATCACCCTTTGGGAAGTGCTGGAAAAGGGTAGTTACCTTTGGCTCCACCTCAGGGGAAAAGTGGTGACATATTTTGTGACCGTAGGGGAGGAGATTGAGCATGTGTGGCTTGGCCCCTGCTGGGTTCTCTTTTGCTATCTTCCCACCCACGTGTGGTGGGGTATGTTCTGGGGTTCTCTGCCATTTGTCAGTTCCCAAGGCAGCTCTGTATGCTGTAGAGCAAGGCTTGGAGTCAGATCTGGTACCTGGGCAGACATATTTTGATTCAGAGATAGTGTTGGCTTCTGGCCCAAGCTGCGTCCCCATCCAGTTCTACCGGAACCAAAGCTAACTCACCTGCCAGACTCCTGTGTGTCTTTCACAATTGGTTCCAAGCCTGGGTTGGAAAGGGAGGGGGCAGGCATAAGAAGTCATCAGTTACTTTTTCCATTAATTTCATGAAGAGAGACTGGAATTCTTTTGTCTTCTCCATGAAAGATACATTCCAACATAAGAACCAGAAAGATTTTATGGCTTCCTCAGTCCCAAGCCAATAGGGGTTTTATGCTTTGTGGTGGGTCAGGAAGGGATGTGTTTGGAGACGGGGTGGGGGGAGCGGGGGCGGATGGTGACAAGAAAAGCAGAGGTCCGCTGAGTTCTGGTTTCTTCATCTGCAGGTGAATGAGCAAATGAAGTTGACGGTGCTGGGACAGGACTCCATCACGGTCACCTTCACTTCCCTGAATGAGAAAGTAACACTCACTGTATCAGCCAACAACTGTCCCCACAGGGTAGGGCATGATAAACGGGTAAGGCAAAGTAGACCAGGCACCCAGGCCTGACCCTGACCCTGACCCCAAGGCATCTCAACATGTCTTGCCACTCCACATTTCAATGCTTTTGCCCCTCCTTTTCCACCCCACCCAACACTCCTGGATGGCTCTTTCTCTTTCTCTGCTGAGTGGATTCTTACTCATCACTCATGGCCTAACCTTAGTACCTTCTCTGTGAAACTTCTATCAGTTAGGAGTCTTTCAGTTGTGACAGAATACAATGAAGACTGGCTTAAACATGGAAAGAGACTATATTGGCTAAGTAAACAGGTCTGTCAGTAGGCAGCTTCAGGCATGTCTGGATCCAGGCCCTCAACCGCATCCATCATATCATGCCATCTCTTGGCTCTGCTCTTTGACTTTTAGCTTTATTGTCAGGGAGTTCCTCTCCTTATGGTAACAAAATAGTCATGAGCATCTCTGAACTCATTATTCTACCAGCTTTGGTCTCCCCAGGAGGAGGGTTTCTATTTCCTAAGTGCTCTAGTAGCAATGCCAACACCAACATCATTAGCTCTGTTGGCTGCCTGAAATGTTCCCTAAGCCAGGAGTGTGTGTCACTCTCACTAATCAACTTAAGTATTATGTCCATCTTAGGAGCCATGGATGTGATCAGCCTCAGGTGTAAGTAACACTGGACAAAGGATGAGGCGGGAGCGTTTTCCTAAAGGAAAATCATGGTGCTGTTATCATGAGAGTGAGAGATAATGCTGGACAGAATAACTGCCAGTATTTGTCTCTATCACCTCCTTCTCCATCTCAGGTAGAATCTGCCTTTCCCTCTGTTTGGCCCTCCCAGCTGTACTCTGCCTCCATTCTAGCACACCTTTATTGACAAGCCAATCTTCTCCACGAAATTAGAAATTCCCCGTGATACCTACTGATGTCTGTTGCCCCAGGGCCCAGCATGAGGACTGCTTCAAATTAAGTACTTACTAAATATTTGTTGAGTGGGTCAGAAAGCAGTGGAGCCTGGAAACTCAAGTCTTCATTTCCTAGATCTTTATGGATTGTACGGTGTGCCTAGTTCCAAGTCAACATCATGAAGAGAGATGGAGAGAATGAAGTGGACACAATCCATGATTCCTAAGGAGTTTATAATCTAGAAGAGGGCGGTTTACATACATTATGAGACTGGGGTGATCAAGGGCTCACTGATGGAGCAGGCCACTTGCATTGCACGCAGAGAGCTTTGCTAAGATTGGCTCACTCAGGATGGCTCCATGAAATAGGAGCAGGAAGGCCGCACCTCCCAGTTTGCCCAGGGCTAATCCCTGTTCACACCTGCTAGCCTAGAGGAATTATTAATAGCACCTCTTTCACTCTCAAAAGTGTCCCAGTTTGGATGATCAATTATATATTTGGATGATCAATTAGATCACCTTGCGTGAGGCTCTTGTGCTGTGGGTGCATTTGCCACCACATGCCACGGCTCATAGACTCACAGAGCTGACAGAGCCCATAAGGGGCAGCCAGCCCAATGTCTTCACTTTACATGGGGTCACAGAAGACAGGCATTTGTTAGGGACACATGTTATCTGAACAAGATACAGAGAACACCTGTGTTTCTCCTGGAGAAAGTATTGCACCTGTTTTTCCCACTGCATTTTCATTTCAGCAACATTTCAACTTCATTAATTCATTAACTCATTCAATAAACATTTATTAGCATCTACAGTATCCAAGTTGGCTTCTGGGGATGTAGAAATGAAGTTTCACTCCCTCTAGTCTCTGAAGGGGCAAAATCGTCAATACCAGTTGTATTCCAGCTTGATGGGTGTGTGCCCGAGAGATAGGGGCTCTGAGGGAGCTGCCAGGATTCATTAAAGGCGTCTCATAGGAGCACCCAGGAAACTTAGATACCTGTGACTTCAGCCTATACTTGTTACTCTAAAGAGCAAAACCACCCCAGGATTTTAAGTCCTTTTGGACTGAGATGAATGACATAATTATTGATCAGTCCATCCTGTTAATTTGGTTCCATACTATTACTCTAAAAGTCATGATTAAGTGACTAAGTATGTATGAGGCCACATGTCTATGTTTCTTGAAAACCCTTTTAGACTATGTAAAAAAAAAAACAAAACTGCGAGTTTACTTTTCTTATCAGAGACAATAGGTATTAGAAAATTATTCTTTTCCATAAATTTGCAGTAATGTTTTGCTTTCATGGCAACCACTTCTCTGGTTATCTCTGAAGTTTGAAACACAGCCTAGAACCAGGACATAAGCAGCTAAAGACCTCCATGAATCCAGAGGAATTACTCTAAGTCCATGAACTAAACATACCCCCTAGGCCAAGGAAAGCAACTTTGTAATTCAGGACTGATTTTTTTCTTACCTAAATGCAACTTTAGCAAGCTAGAGCTAGGAGTCCAGAGCTGTGCTGTTCTGTATGGTGGACACAAGTTGCAAATGGCTATTGAGCACTTTCAGTCTGACAAGTCCAATGGAGATGGGCCATACGTGAAAATGCACACTCCATTACCAAGACTTAGTATGAAAAGAGAATGTGAAATTTCTCATTAATCATTTATTTTGATTCCATGTTGAAATGATCATATTTTTATATATTGGAGTAGATAAATATGTTACTAGAATTAAGTTCGCTTTTTAAGAACATTTTTTTTATGTGGCTACAGGAATGTTTGAAACTACTCATATAGCTCCCATTATATTTCTACTGAACCATGTGAGTCTAGGAGACAGAGTCTCCATAAGGGAAGCTCCCAGAGTCACTGACAGTGTGATAGAGGCTGGAAGTTATTGAAAAGGACATTGTGACTCAAAAAGCTAAACTGTCTTGGGGACTATTAGCATAGAGATAAATAGACATTAAAATAGCTTTTGAAAACAGTACTGCATTCTATACAACAATCATTGATTTTGTCCAAAAAGACTGACTTGTCAAGAAGCGTCCAGGTCATAACCCCTTGTGTCTGAGAGTGGGGAGGTGTACTGTGGATCATAACTTTCTAACTAGAAAAACAACAGCAAATGAAGAAAGATCAGAATTATTGCAGGTAAAAGGATTTCTAATCATTGACCTTAGCTACCAGGAAAAGCACTTCGAAATGTTTTCACATGAAATCCTTGAGGCTCAGAGAACTGCCTCCTTTTGGATTCTTGGACCATGAGAACTATAAGAAGCCCCTGAGAAAATTTGCTGGCAAAGAGCCTTGGCTAAGAAGAGGCCATAGGATCTTGGGCCAGTCCCTTCCTTTTATGGGCCTCAGTTTCTCCATCTGTATCATGATGCGTAAGGCCCCACCCAGCTTTCACACACTTTCATCCTGTGTGTGTTTGTGTTTAGGGCTAGTTATCACTCATCAGCAAAATTCATGGCAGTCTAGGAAAGCCGAGTGTGGGAGGTAGGGTGGCCTCCTCCCTCAAAGTCTCTGTCATTGGGAAGCTTGTTAAATGGCTTCCTCACATACCCATCTCCCCAGAAGAAGAGTGACAGGCAGAATGGCAGTCCCAGCTTTTATGGCCCTGCGGCCTGGCTCCTCACTAAATATTTCTATCAAGGCAGCACTTTGGAAGCGAGGCAATGCCTCAATTTAAATGCTTTATTAGCCCAAAGTGCCGCCTCAAATCCTTTTTGGAAGCAGGCTGGGTATAAATTACAAATAAATAAATAAAATTATCCCAGAAGCAGCAGCTGAGGCCAGCAGTTGGAAGGATGGTTGGGGTTTTGCCATTAATTGGGGCATTCGTTACAGAAATCCTGCCTGCAGGGCAAAGAAGGACATGTGGGCTGACTTCATTGTTCTTCAGAAAATCTGCCTACTGCCCACCCAACTCTCTCCACCTGAGGCTTCAATTCCACAGAAGAAAACCTTTTTCACACTGCCTCAGTGTTAAGCGGGAGATGTAGAAAGCATGGATCCTGCCTTTCAGGGACTGACCAACTTTAGGATAAAGAAGGTAAAAAAAAATGACCAATACCTAGGGCAGAAAGAACAAAAATGGGCAAATGTGCAAGTTTAGCATGAAGAATGACTTCTACTGGCTGAAGAAATCAACAAAGGCTTCCTGGAGAAAAAGTCAAATCTTAACTGCCGTTAACTCAGGAATCTGAGCCTAGTTCTGCAGTACCACCGAGATGCACTGGCAGAGGAAGAAGCTGAACTGCAAGGCAGCCCCAGCAAGTGCCTCACCACCCCACAGGGGGCCCCAGAACCAGAATGACCCTTCAGGGTAACCCCAAACTGAGGCAGGAGGCCAGGGCCTTTGTGCTCACAGGTAACCAGTCAATCTATGTAGTCTTGGCCAAGGGCAGTTTCCCAGCTGAGATGCTCTGGCAGCTGGAGGGAGGAAGAGGGTTCTGGGGGTTGCTGAGAGGGACTGACAGCAAAGGTTCCAGAGAGGCCTTTATTCATCTAGTTATTCATGATGCAACAAGCATTAATTGAGCACCTCCCGTATGATGGGCACTCAGTCCAGTGGGGAAGACACTCAAATGTATCCACTTACTTCATAAAGGGCTAACTTCTATCTTCAGGCTGCATAGATATCATGATGATGGAGGTCCAAGACAAGGAACAGTTCTGCCCAGTAGAGTCAGGGAAAACCCTCTGAAGAGGGGGCATGTGAGTCAGGTTGAGCCAGAGTGCAGGAATTCACTGGGTTGAAGGGGAGAGAGGTGTGTCCAAGGTAGAAGGGACAGCACATCCTGCAAGTCAGAGCAAGGCCTGGCCTGGTCATTGCTGGCCTGGGCAGATGACCCCTGGGGAGGCAGGTGACAACACCCTCCCCTTTGCCTCTCTCAGGTGACCCACAAAATCAGCAGCTTGGACGACAAGATGTCTAAGATGAGCCGAGCCCTGGCAGAGATCAAGAGGCGGTTTCAGAAGACAGTGTCTCAGTTCATGAATTCTGTCTTGCTGGCAGCAGGTAAGGGGACAGAAAGGTGGGTGACAGCCTATCATATGGATTCCCAAGTCCTGAGTCACCTGCAAGTCATCTCCAAGGACAACTCTGCAGGGAGTTGGGCGTGGCAAGGAGCAGCATGGATGCACTGTGTACCCAGTCTCTACATTGAGTGCTGTGGAGGACATAAAGCTGAATGAAACACAGGCCCCTTAGAAAAAGTGGAATCTAATCTGGGTCTTGATGAATGAATAGAAGTGAGATTGATTCGTTCTTACCTTCAGTCAGCGTTTACTGATCCACTAACTGTACTAAGGTTGGAGCACTGTGCCAGACAAAAGAGGGGAGGCAGCCTGGCAGGAGAACCTACAAGAGTGAAAGTGTGAAGAGGGAAATGAGCTGAAAGGTGCCCATGTGCAGAGACTCACAGCAGGGAGGGAAGGCCAGGCCACGAGGGAGAGTGACAGCAGTTTCTTCTGTTAACAGGCCTGCTCACCATAACATATCCAGTAAAGCAAGAGGCAGAAATAAATCAAACCAGGATGAAATCCTGGTCCCATCTCGAGCGGAGCATCAAGCTAAGTCTATTCTCAGGAGAAGGCCTTTCATTACGATCTCAGTCTGCCCGACCTGAATCTTCAGTTGGAGAGTTTGTAAGGGAAGAGCTTGGGTCTGCTCCTGTGAGCCCCACTCGGAGGGGGGCCATCAAGAACCAAGCTAAAGCCTCGTTTACATCCAGGTGGGCTTGGGCCTTCATTTCTTCTAGCTTTGGTGTGTCAGATGCTGTGATGGGTAGTAGACACAGTGGAGAAGAAAACAGATGAGACTCCTCCCTCTCGGGGTTGGAATTCTAATGGTGGGAAAATATGGAAGAGACATACATGAACAACTGAAATCATTTCAGATAGTGATAAGGCTAGGAAAAACATAAATCGGGGTGATGGGTTAGAACAGAGGCTGGCAATTTAGGGCCATATGCAAATCTGGCACCACTGCCTGCCTTTTTTTACGGTTAGCTAAGAATGGTTTTTATGTTTTTAAATGCTTGGGGGAGAAAAAGATCAAAAGAATTTTCCATGACATGTGAGATGATATGAAATTCAAATGTCAAGATCCCTAAGTAAGGACTTCTTGGAACACAACCATGTCCACTCATTTACATATTATCTATAGCTACTTTCCCCACTAGGACGGAAATCTTGAGTTGTTGTGACTGAGACTATGTGGCCTCCAAAGACTAGAATATTTATACTCCGGTCCTTTATAGAAAATGTTGACCTGGGATGGAGAGTGACTAGGAAGTGGGGTGGGATGTGCTATATGAGGTAGATAGGTTAGGAAAGGCAGTCCTGAGATGATATTATATTGAAGACCTGAAGGATGAAAAATAGGCAGCCACAAAAAGGACTGGGGAAGGAACATCAGGCAGAGGGTAGAGCAAGTACAAAGACCCTAAGATACGAACAAGTTTGGTATGTGTGAGGAAAAGCAAGAAGACCAGTGTGGAGCCTCATGATGAAGTGAGAGTAATGTAAATTGAGGACAGAGAGGTAGGCAGGAGCTGGATCAAGTAGCCTAGTTAGTGTTATAGGAAGTCATTCCATAACTTTTACAGGAAGTGACATCATCTGACTTATGAATTAAAAAAAAAACTTAAAAATATATATATATATATATTATATTTTTATTTTTTAACTTAAAAAATATAAAATAAACACAGGGAAAAAATGAATTAATACTAAGTGTATAGCTCAATGAGTACCATAAAGTGAATATACCTTGTAGCCACCACGTCAAGAAATAGAACATTTCCAGATTCTTAGAAGTCCTCTTTTGTCCCCTCTCAGTCAGTAACTCCACACTCCTCTCCACCAGGAAGATTTCTAACATCATAGATTAGTTTTTAATTTTTTTAAAACTTCCTTTAAATGGAACTATTCAGTACGTATTCTTGGGAGTCTGGCTTCTTTTGGTCAACATAATTGTGAGACTTGTCCATGTTGTTGCATGAAGTAGTAGTTTGCTTATTTTCATTGCTGTATAATAATATATTGTGTGTATGTGCTACAAATTATTCATTTTAATGTGAATGGATATTTGAGTTGTTTACAGTTTTGGTAATGACAAACTGTGCTAGTGTTTCCATATGTCTTTATTTCTGGTTGATATATGCCTGGATGTGAAATTGCTGTCATAGAGCATATGTATGTGAAACTCTTAGTAGAGACTATTCATTTTCCCAATTGGTGGTATCAAGTTCCACTCCTGTCTGAAGCATATGAGAGTTCCAGTTGCTCTACATGCTCACCAATACTTGATATTGTCAATCATTTTCATTATAACCAATCTACAATGATGAAATGGTTTTTCATTTGCATTTCTCTGGTGACTCCAGAGGTTGACACCTTTTCAATTGTTCATTGACCATTTCGAATATTCTCTTTTGTGAAGTGCCTGTTCAGTTCTCTTGTCCACTTTTCCACTGGTTGTTTGTCATTTCTTCATTTATATTTTAGAGTTCTTTATATATTGTGGATACAAGACTTTTGTCAGTTATACCGTTCCCCTGTCTCCATTTTTACTCTAATAATTGTGCATATTGATAAACAAGTTATTAGGTTAATGTTCAATTTTCAATCTTTCTTTATAATTAGTATCCTGTTTAAGAAATTTCCCTATATAATAACATAATGATATTCTTCCAAGTTGCTTTCTAATAACTTTTTTTGTTTTACCATTTACATTTATATCTATTCTCCACCTGGAAATGATTTCTGCATATGAGGTGAAGTAGAAGACAAGTTTTAATTTTTTCATGTATATTTTGGATCCAGCATCACCTATTGAAGATTGTCATTTTCCCCCAACTCTTTGTGTCATAAATCACAGGGCTCTTTATGTATAAGTCTAGGATCATTTTCTGGACTCCGTGTTTTGTTCCCTATTGTCCAACCTTTTACCAATACCAAACTGTCTTACTATAGCTTTGTATTAAGTATTGATGTATAGCAGAGTAAGTACTCAGACTTTATTATTCTAAATTATTATGTTGTTCTTGGCCTTTTACATTTCCATATAATTTTAGAATCATCCTGTCAATTTAAAAAAATGCCTTGGGATTTCAATTGGATTGTTAATGTCTTTGTAATATTGGAATATTTCGATTCATGAACATGGTTTATCTTTTAATTTATTTATTTAGGTATTCTCTAATCTTGCCATTATATTTTGTAGTTTTTAGCATAGAGGTCTTGTATGTCTTTCCTTAGGTTTATTCTAGAATATTTAATAGTTTTTGATGCTGTTACGAATTGTTTTTAATTTAATTTTTCTATTCATTGTTGGTATATAGAAAGGAAATTGATTTTACCTCAATTTAAATTTATTTTTAATTTACTTACAGTAAGCTTTACTTTTTTGGTGTAAAAGTCTGTGACATATACATAGAGTTGTGTAACCAGCACCATAGCCAAGATACAGAACAGTTTCATCATCTTTCTCTACCACCCCCATTCCACACACACAAATTCTCTCATGCTATTTCTTTGTAGTCAAACTCTTCTCTGGTCCTTAATTCCTAACAACTACTGACTTGTTCTCTGTAGCTATAAGTTTTGCATTTTCTTGAGTGTTATATGAATGCAATTATACAGTATACAGCCTTTTGAATCCAGCTTCTTCACTTAGCATAATGCATGCAAGATTCATCCACATAGGGGTGAAAGTGATGCTTCAATCTTGTGAGGGCTTGTCTATTTCTTTTTCAACTTTACTCTTCAGGTATAGCTCTTCAGATCCACAACCAAAAGCCAATAATGTTCATCAGGCCAGCATCCTTGGTGGGCCCTGAACTCCCATTTTTTTCCCTCCAACCCATGAACGTGTCAGGAGCTTTGCTCAGCTTCTCATCCTATCATCTCCAAGTTTCACGTTCAGAATCAGTATTTGCCGTGAGAGGTAAAGCTGTCCTATATGTTACACTCACCTTTCTTGGTTTCTCTCTTCTTCCTGATGTCGACCCTGCAGACTTTCACTTACTTGTGAAAACTCTAATGCATTTAAACAGTTTTTAAAAATATATTTTGTTGAGCTTTTCTCGTTTTTCCCAGAGGATTGGTCTAAAACACCCTAGTCAGCCATTGTTAGAAGTGGAACATTTCTGATTGCTCTGTGGGAAAATGATTTTAGGGTGGGAAGAGTGGAATTAGAGTAGTTAAGATACTGTTTTAGTAATCCAGGTGACACTGATGTTGTGCTGTCAAAGGTAGTATCAGAAAAAAGGAAGAAACACACAATGCAATATGTATATGCCTTACCGTTAAATTGTACACCTGAATCTTACTGGATTTCATTAACCAATGTCACCATAAGAAATAAATTTAAAAAATATTTTTTAAAAAAAACAGAAAAAAGAAAATTAGACATATTTGTAATGAACTTTGGAGGTAGAGCTAACAGAAATGACTGATAGATGTGGGGTAAGGGAAAACAAGCATCATGAATGACTTAGGTTTTTGGCTTAAATAACTGAATAATGATGGTATTATCTCGAATGGGGAAAAGTGATGGCAGAGTAGGTTGGGAAGAGTTCGGTGACAATAAATGTGCAAATTGAAAATATGCTACCTTCGGTGTGCATTCATACCTATGTGAGCGAAGATCCGGGGCCAGATGGAGAGAACTCAGGAAACATTTAGAGTCATTGTTATGAATTTTCATAGGGCTGTTCAGTGGGACCCTGAGTCCTTTTCTCCTTTGATCCTAAAGCGCGGTCTTCTCATAGGAATTAACCATGTTTACACAGCTCTTCAGGAACAGACTTTTTTGTCTGAGTAACTCAAACTCTGAAAACTTCAGTTTCCTTATCTATCAAATGGGCATCATAATTTCTGCTCTGTCTCTTTTCTCCATGTATGCTCTTCCAGGTTCCTGTGAAGAGCAAAAAGACTATTAGACGTGCAAAAGTGCTACTTAAACTGTAAGTGCTGCAAAAATGTGGAGTGGTGTGCTTATACCATTTCCAGATATCCTCAGAAACATTGGTGTGAAGTAAGGAAGTAACTGACAAATCTGTTACACCAGAGCTGCCTTACCATATACTTGAATTAGGTTTTCCTTAGGCAGTGGGCAAACAAGGCAGCAAGGGGGCTGGGAGGGGTTCATGTGGGAATCTGGAAGGCAGTTCTCCCTCTCCAGAGGTGACAGTGAACAAGAGTGAATAGAACCTGTAAAAATCCCCTTTTCTAGCCTTTCTTCTAGTACCAGGGACCCTAGAGAGGATGCTGAACAGCAGAGCACTGAGCAAAGGAGGCAGTTTTCGGCTACTCCAACAGCTGTCTTATCTAGAAAGATAGACAGCCTGAGTTTGGGAGCTTGGGAAGCTGTAAGGAGGGGCCAGTAGGCAAGGAAACTTAGGTGCCAGGCTTTCAGCATTGCAGAGGCTAGTGGTGGCAAGTCAAAGATGGAGGCTATTCCAAATGTATAGGCCTGTCTGAAGAATAAAGAAGTCAAGTTAGAATGGGAAGGGGAACAGTTGCTGAGACCAGGCTGAAGAGGTGAATTTGACACATAGGACAAATGACTAAGACCAATATTCTTCTGAGAGGAATATTGGCCTGTGGTTGAGAGATACATGACCTAACAGGGAGGGAATGGAGAAGGAAATGTTCCTCCTTCCTTCCAAGTCTCCTACTGGTACCCCCACTGGCAAACCCGACCAGAGTTTCTCAATGCCTATGC